GTTGGGTGAGGCTTGTAAACTTGTGTGTCATCATACTCTGACGGCATGGGGTGTTGCTCATAATATCTGTCTCTGGTTTGTTTTTGATTTTTAGCCATTAATTTGCTTGTAAAACTAGGAATCTAATGTGGAAGATAATTAGATCTATACAGAGACACCCGGCAATATTCCACCTCCAGGACAGCGCCAGTAATCAAGTGGTCGATATAATGAGCAACGGTCCACACGGTTGGGGTATGATGACACGCAATCAACCAGGCACTGAGCCTGACCACACCATCACCGTGACCAACTCTAACCACATTTCCACGAGAGGGGAAGGAGGTTACAAACAAATGACAAACATGGCTACACAAACTTATGGGGACTCTCCTCCAAAACTACAAACACATTTTTCTACTTTTTCCACATTTTTTCTAATAACCTGGTTTACACTCCACTGATAAAAAATTCACAAATGTTGGAAAAAAAATCAATTCCGCAGTAAATGTCAACTGGTTTCAGTAAAGTAAAAAAAAAAAAGGTCAATATGTGAATGGCGTCCAAATCAAAGCACTTCTCTCTTTTTCATTATGAGGAATATTTTCAAGAAATCGACTTTTTTCAGGTATCTAAAGAAAATCTTGTAAAGTTTTAATTGACTGACGTCCACTGGAATAAACAATCAGCAAACCAAGTTACTGAAAAGAAAGAGGCCCAAGTTCCTATTCAGTCTACATTTATCAAATGTAGAAATGGTCAAAACCTTTTCATCCTCCTGCTTTCCTGAGGATTTCTCCTCCGTTTTCTTTGGCGGAGATTCTGAGTCTGACTTTGGCGACTCGCTTTTGCTAGAGTTCTGTCCCTTTGCGTCCTGGTCTCCCTCGCTAGCTGCCCCTGCCGCTGCCGACGATGGATCCTAGACCACAACAACATCCGTGACAACATCCTTGACCGTCACCAACCACCAGTCAGTATAACTTTAATCCTATTTTCCTGATGACTATCTCCTTATGCTTTAAAAAAATGGGTGGCAAGTAATTTTGGTCGGTCAATTTATTTCAACCATTATTTGAAATATTTGTCTTATTTTAGGCCAGGCATTTTATTCTTTTACAAGCCTCAAAAAGGAAAAATGTATTACAAACATATTGAATAAAAAAATTTATTTTTACAATCATTTGTTCTAATAATTCACAATGATTATCAAGTACGATTATCAAGTATTTCACTTTTGTCTTCTGCGTTGAGAAGAGAGGTCACAAAAAATAAAATTCAATTTCAGACCAAATGCCAAAATAAAAAAATGTTGATATTTTTTAATAAAATGAGTACTGATTATTTTTCAGTTAAAAAACACACCATTTGGCAGCTTAGCCCTATGAACGACATTTATAACACAGGAAGTCTTGAATATTTCGATCGACCAATAGATGTAATATCTCAGCATTGGAGCTAGTCAGCAGGAAAACAGCACTGAAGATCTATTACATTCTCATGTGACAGACATACAGAAAAAACTTAGAGCAAAGTTTCAAAAGTAACCAACACCACTCATTCAAGCTGCGAGAATGTTATTTAGGGTGGTGCAGTTGTCACAAGATAAGAGAAGTGGCAGCGGGTATTACACATTTAGGGGATGCTTGTCACACCAGCGGTGAGATGCAGTGAGCGTAGACGTAGAAAACAACGAAAAACTCATGCAGCAACTTCACGTTTATTAGGACATTGAATATATACTACTCGAAAAATGTTAAGGATCACTTATTCTTTCTTATTACTCTAGTTCATCTGTCATGGGATGTCACTATAGCAATATGAACGAATGAGACGGGCCTATCTTTTTTGGAGTATCATAATTGATCTTTGCTTGAACAAATAATGACATGTTCATGGATAAATAAAATCCATTACATTTGTGAACTTACGGGCTGATCATTTTTAAAATTGTGTTGTTGGAAGGGTGAATGTTCAATTGGAGAATTGTGTTTTACTGATCAAAAGCAACAGAAATATTTTTGGAAATCATTAAAAATTAAGCATATTATATTCCACATTGATTATTTTTCATTTTATTCAAAAGCAATTGATGCTCGTGATGTCCATCACTGGATCGTGTGGTCCAGACTTGATTTTTTACAGAGTGAGTGAGTGAGTTGGGTTAATGTCGCTTTGAACAGTATTCCAGTTACATCACGGCATGTCAGCATAATTGCTGTTTGTTTGTTGTTTTACGCTGCAATCAGCAATATTCCAGCTATATGACGGTGATTGATAGTGATTGATATCATGAGCATCAATCCACGCAATTTGGATCGATGACATGCTTCAACCAAGTCAGCAAGCCTGACCACCCGATCCCGTTAGTTGCCTCTTACGCCAAGCATAGTCGCCTTTTACAGCAAGCATGGGTTGCTGAAGACCTATTCTACCCGGATCTTCACGAGTTTTAATCGCTGTTAATGTGGGAGGAAAGCCCGAAATGATGCAGACCAACTCTCCACAGCAAACTGCAATGTCTTAGAGGACTGGACTACTTGCGGCCCTCATTACTGACAGACCGCTGTCATATACCTGGAATATCTCTGAGCCCAGCATTACACAAACAGATGTTAAAAATCAATTGAAATATTTCTGTATAAGAAAGGCTTTAGAGGAAGCTGGGGTGGGAGTGTCCGTCATAAGAACACGAACGGTAAAACAAATTATATGATCAAGTTGACGACTGGTCTAATCTCTACGTTAACTTATATCACAACACTCAGCTAAACTACAAATATTAACACAACAGAATACATTACATGACAACACTACAAAACTGATTTGGAAATGGAAATGCATGAAAACCATGGCAACGTACCTCATCTGAGTCCTCTACTTTGGCCTCCTTGTCTTTGCCGTCCGATCCCCCAAATAGACCTCCAATGGCACTCCCTATTTCTGCAAGGAGAGTGGTGAGTTAATGTGGGAGGAAAGCCCAAAGTGATTGTGGTTGTAGTTTACCACAAGCATAGTATTGTTTGTTTGTTGCTTAATGCCACACTCAGCAATATTCCAGCTGTATGACGGTGGTCTGTAAATAATCTAGTCTGGATCAGACAATCCAGTGATTGACATCATGAGCATCGATCCACGCAATTCAGATATGATGACATGCATCAACCAAGTCAGCAAGCCTGACCACCCAATCCCGTTAGTCGCCTTTTACGACAAGCATAGGTATACAGTGTTCCCTCGCTATTGCGCTCTTCAATATAGCGCTAGCTCGGGTTATAGCGTGCTGTAAAGCATGGCTCCCAAAATTTACTAACATAAACTCAAGTTTTCCAATGAAACGATGTTTTCCCCCATCTCAGAAAACATTATCAGCTGATCACCGCAATCACGTAACACCGGAAATACCAGTCAACAAATCCAAACTGAAGCACGCAATTTAATCCTATTATAATATATGGTTATAAACTAAATTGTTCATTGTTTATCTGGACTAATGTTTGCAATATATTTTATTAATTATATTCAAAATTTAATTCAATAATTATAATAATGTTTACAATAATTTAGCCGAAATAGTATGCAAAGTGATCGGTAGATCGCACAACTCTCCGTTATTTACAGCAACCACGGTCAGATTACCGCTATATTGATGCCTTGCAACGAACTTTAGATGCAAGAGAATGGATACACATATCATAAATGCCATACCATGACTCACTAAAAGTCATATTTGAGGCAGTTTGACTATTAAATGTCAGCATAACGTTTTCGCAATCGAAATACATGTAGCGCGTGAAGTCCCTACAGTGACTGGTCAAATTGTTCCATACGTAAAAAACACGCTTACGATTCTTATAATTTTAAGTATATATATCATGTATATAGTGGAAGCTCCAACTAAAATAACATTATATTGGAATATATTATTCCCGATAAAATAATAATTTCAGATACAATTTCTTCTGATCATTGCATCAAAATTCTTTGAAGTTGTATGATTGGGTACCTTTAAACTAAATCACTGGTACATTGGGAGGAAACGTGTGCACAGCTGATTGCTATTTCCGGCTTAGTTTACGAGAAAATACACACGGTAATCTTAATCTCTGCGTATAAAACAATGCCTTGGAGAGAAGCAAATACATTCTCAATGGTACCTCATCATGTCTTGTGATGTTTTATATCAAATTTCATACTTTTATTGACCAAGTTTGTTATACCTGTTTATTCACCTGAATTCGCTGAAGGGTACGATGTGTTTTTTTTAAAGTGCATATTAATACTCGATGAATCTTTTTTTACACCATGAATCATAAACAACTTCTATTCTAATCTTTTTTTAAACTCTGAAACGTGCAACGTAGATGGTGCTAGGTAGGCAGAGCATGTATACTGTTTTGGTCATCTACCACCTACGACTTGACCTTCCTTAAACCGCTGATCATCTATAACGCTCATCAATTATTTGGACCCCGAAGGTGGCGTAGTAGCGAGGGATCACTGTAGTTCTGACAACCAAAGAATTACAATTAGGTACATGTGTGTGGTGCAGCGTGGCGTAGCGTGGTATGGCAGTGTTGTCGTGTGCTGTGGTGTGTTGTGTTGTGTTGGTATGTGTTGTGCTGTGCTGTGCTATGCAGTGTAGTGCTGGCACGGCGTGGCGTGGCGTGTGGTGTGATGGTGGTGTGGCGTGTGGTGTTGATGGTGTGGCATGTGGCGTGACGTGTCGTGTGGTGTTGATGGTGTGGTGTTGATGGCGCGGCGTGTGGTGTGATGGTGGCGTGGCGTGTGGTGTTGATGGCGTGGCGTGTGGTGTTGATGGCGTGGCGTGTGGTGTTGATGGCGTGGAGTGGCGTGTGGTGTTGATGGTGTGGCGTGGCGTTGATGGCATGGCGTGTGGTGTGATGGTGGAGTGGCGTGTGGTGTGATGGTGGAGTGGCGTGTGGTGTTGAGGGCGTGGCATGTGATGGTAGCGTGGCGTGTGGTGTTGAGGGCGTGGCGTGTGGTGTGATGGTGGCGTGGCGTGGCGTGGCGTGTTGTGTTGATGGCAAGGCGTGTGGTGTTGATGGCGTGGCGTGGCGTGTGATGGTGGCATGGCGGTGTTCATGGTGTGGCGTGTGGTGTGATGTGTTCTGTTATACAACTTACTGGACCAGGCAGACTCGTCTTTCTCCTCAGCAGCTTCCCCAACTTTCTCGAACACTGACTCAACCTGCAGCAATGAAGCACACACTCATCAAACTTCTCCTGACAGTTACAACCGATTTGCGTGTTCTAATAACTGCAGCCTGAGAACCCACTCTACTGACGGCCACTCTACTGACGGCCACTCTACTGATGGCCACTTTACTGACGGCCACTTTACTGACGGCCACTTTACTGACGGTCACTTTACTGACGGTCACTTTACTGACGGCCACTTTACTGACGGCCATTTTACTGACGGTCACTGACGGCCACTTTACCGACGGTCACTTTACCGACGGTCACTTTACTGACGGTCACTTTACTGACGGCCACTTTACTGACGGTCACTTTACTAACGGTCACTTTACTGATGGTCACTTTACTGACGGCCACTTTACTGATGGTCACTTTACTGACGGTCACTTTACTGACGGCCACTTTACTGATGGTCACTTTAATGACGGCCACTTTAATGACGGCCACTTTGGCTTATAGCCTATTTTGTGAAGTGTCCAGGACATTTCTTCAGGGGAGGTAATTTAGATATTACTGTTCAAGATTGTCTCCCCTTGGTTGGTTAATATCAAAGACTAAGTTTGATTCCAGTATATCTAAACTTCCGATGGGTTTTGTTTCAAACATACTACTCCATTGTTGATAGGGATATTTTCCCTCCATAAAACAAAAAACTGACACCCATAACATGACCTTATCTAAGTGGAGGATGCCTCTCATTCAACCCACCTTATCTAAGTGGAGGATGCCTCTCATTCAACTCACCTTATCTAAGTGGAGGATGCCTCTCATTCAACTCACCTTATCTAAGTCGAGGATGCCTCTCATTCAACTCACCTTATCTAAGTGGAGGATGCCTCTCATTCAACTCACCTTATCTAAGTCGAGGATGCCTCTCATTCAACTCACCTTATCTAAGTGGAGGATGCCTCTCATTCAACTCACCTTATCTAAGTGGAGGATGCCTCTCATTCAACTCACCTTATCTAAGTGGAGGATGCCTCTCATTCAACTCACCTTATCTAAGTGGAGGATGCCACTTTCATCCATTCTGAAGTGGGCTTTGATGCCCTTGCCCTCAGCGCCCTCCTTGTGTTTTTTGTACGCATCCTCAACCCCGATGAGTGACACGTTCGACAGTAGCAGCTGCGGGAATGACCTACATAACACGGAACATGTTCCTGTAATGACCTACACAACTTCGAACATATTCCCGTATCGACACTACAGAACATATTCCTGTTACGACCTACACACTACAGGATATATATTCCTGTAACGACCTACACACTACAGAATATATTCCTGTAACGACCTACACACTACAGAATATATTCCTGTAACAATCAACACAACACGGAACATGTTCCTGTAATGACCTACACACTACAGAATATATTCCTGTAACGACCTACACACTACAGATTATATTCCTGTAACGACCTACACACTACAGAATATATTCCTGTAACGACCTACACACTACAGAATATATTCCTTTAACGATCAACACATCCCTGAACATGTTCCTGTAACGACCTACACAACATGGAATATATGAGACACTTTTGTTTTTTCCCCCCTATTTCACGGGACGGAATGTTTTATACTTTTGAATACATTAAAAACATCTCAGATAGTATCAAAATATGGACAAAACTCACTTTTTGTCTAAGTCGGACAGGAAGTCAATGTCGCCGTATCCCACACTGAAGGAGAAGTCGGAGTAGTGCTTGTTAAAGGTCATGACCTTCTTCTGGGGGTAGGGATTCATCCTCCCAAACAGGGTTCGCTTCACGGTCTTCGAAGACTCACTTCCATCTTCGGATGTGCGATGCTTTTCAAACTCAACCTGTAGTAATTATATGATAAACAGTCACTGAATTCAAAATTTCATAATTGCTTGTCTACTTATCATACCTATGTTATATTTTGGGGGCACATGTCTGTAAATATCAATAATGTTGAGTGGGTGGTGAGGTGAAATGGGGTTTAATGTTGCGTTGAAGATTATGGCACTAATATTTTGACGAGAAGGCATGTGTGTGTGCATGGCTTTTTTCTTACTAGTCCCAGGGGGGTCGGGTAGCCTAGTGGTTAAAGCAATCGCTCGTCACGCCGAAGACCTGGGTTCGATTCCCGACATGGGTACAATGTGTGAAGCCCATTTCTGGTGTCCCCCGCCGTGATATTGCTGGAATATTGCTAAAAGCGGCGTAAAATCAAACTCACTCACACACTCACTCACTTACTAGTCCCAACTAATTTGTATAGTGCTAGCACACTGAGATACCATGCCGCAGTTTAACATGAATACCCCACTCAGACACAGTATACTGACTCGACCAGTCCTTGTTTTAGCACCCTTTATGCCGAGCGCCAGACAGGGTAACAACAAGTACCATCTTTTAACCTCTTTTGGTATTACGAGGCCGGGGACCGAAGCCCTGACCTTCCTCTCTCCGACCTCATCACAAGGGTATACTACAAGCATGAGGTACTGGGGGTACTGGGGGTACTGGGGGCTGTTGTTCCCATGACGACGCTCACCACATTCAGCCAGGCCTCATCACAAGGGTATACTACAAGCATGAGGTACTGGGGGCTGTTGTTCCCATGACGACGCTCGCCACATTCAGCCAGGCCTCATCACAAGGGTATACCACAAGCATGAGGTACTGGGGGCTGTTGTTCCCATGACGACGCTCGCCACATTCAGCCCGGCCTCATCACAAGGGTATACTACAAGCATGAGGTACTGGGGGTACTGGGGGCTGTTGTTCCCATGATGACGCTCGCCACATTCAGCCAGGCCTCATCACAAGGGTATACTACAAGCATGAGGTACCGGGGGTACTGGGGGCTGCTGTTCCCATGACGACGCTCGCCACATTCAGCCAGGCCTCATCACAAGGGTATACTACAAGCATGAGGTACTGGGGGTACTGGGGGCTGCTGTTTCCATGACGACGCTCGCCACATTCAGCCAGGCCTCATCACAAGGGTATACTACAAGCATGAGGTACTGGGGGTACTGGGGGTACTGGGGGCTGCTGTTCCCCTGACGACGCTCACCACTATTGGGTAGACATTGCCCTCCTTCACATTGAAGGTCTTGACCTTGAAGCCCTTGCCGAGGAAAGCCGCCTGGTACACAGCCCCCATGGCCGCCGACTCGTCCGTGTTGATGCTCTTCCCTAGCTCCGAGCTGGAACAAATACAATTTAGAAAAATCTAAATATTTGGTTACATATATACTCCTTAATGCATGTACTGGTATTTTTTTTACAGAAAGATGAGGCTGTGTAAGATCCAGCTTAAAAAGAAGTAGTTCCAACTAGTTGTGTGGCTAATCCAATTACACGGTGCCCCGGGAAGTGATGACGTCACGGAACATCACATTACTGCTTCAACCAGACCCTGACAAGTTGTGTATATATAATATAGCTCCAGATAATCTACTGGCATCCTTTTGCTTGTTAATTTGTTCAACAATTTTTATATGATAACTCTTATTTCAACCGCGGAGTATTTTACGGCAGCTTCTTTGTATCAATCTCCACTCACGAAAGCGCCTTCCAGAACGTGAATTGTATCATTTTTATGGTTTGTGTTTTCACGTCAGTAAATGCAGGATAAGTTGAAAAATATAACTGGGTGATTGTACATAACACACTGTCATTTAAAGGGAGGGTTAAATGAAGTTTAACATCGCATTCAAGATTATTGCGCTTAGGTAGCAACGTGTACGCACGTGTGTGTGTGTGTGTGTGTGTGGCTGCTTGTACTAGTCCTGACTAATGCCGTTCTTATCGTGCTAGCTCACCGAGAAACCATGGCGCAGTTTAACATGAATACCCCACTCAGACACAGTATACTGACTCCGAGCCGACCAGTCCTTGTTTTAGCCCCTTAATGCTGAGCGCCAGACAGGGCAACAACAAGTACCATCTTTTAACGTCTTTTGGTAGGATGCAGCCGAGAATCGAAACCCAGACCTTCCGCTCATTGGGTGGACAATATTTCCACTAGACCAAGATGTGATCTGTGTCGTGAGTGAGTGAGTGAGTGAGTGAGTGAGTGAGTGAGTGAGTGATGCTTAACGCCGCACTCAGCAATAATCTAGCTTTATGACGACAATCTGTAAATGATCGAGTCTGGACTAGACAATTCAGTGACAGACAACATGAGCATCAATCTACACAACTTGGACATGACATTCATCAACCAAGTCAGCGAGTCTGATCCTGTTAGTAGCCTCCTACGACAAGCATGGTCGCCTTTTACGACAAGCAATGGTTGTTAGAGACCTATTCTACCCCGAATCTTTAGGTTGTATGAGGGAGGAAGGGCTGGAGTGATGGAAATTAGGAAAGAAGTATACTATTGCTTGTTTGTTTGTTGTTTAATGTCGTACTCAGCATTATTCAAGCTATTAACAACTTTTAAATAATCAGGTGCGGACCAGACAATCCAGTGATGGCTATTATTAGCAACGATCCACACTGTCTGAGTATGATGGCACACTGTTCGCCAAGTCAGTGAGCCTGACCTCCGGACCCATTAAGTCCCACCTAACCACTACCTGGTATGTATACTATAAAACAGGAATTTAATGCGACATGAAAATAATGCGAGCTCTTGATTTTAGACATAAATGCGCATTTTAAAACTGCGAGTGCCTATACCCTTTCCTAAAAATTTATGCGCTGGATTTATGTTCTGTGTTATTTTAATTAATGTAACCTACGTAAATGAAAGCCATACCTGAAAATGCAGATTAGTGTCATGAAACCCATTCATGCACGTCGGCTCGTGTCTGCTCTTGACAAGCTTGTAAAGGACACTGATGGGATAATTCGTGGCTGGCACCAATCTGGGCTGCTTGACAGGATGTGAACTGACCACTACTCAACTTCACTTTGTGTAGGTGACTGTTATTTGTCTAGTAATTTATTTATCTATTACCTTGGTGACTGATTGTTGTCAGTGACTGCTATCAACTTGTAATGATCTGATATCATTGTTTTTGATGTACCATATTCGACGTAATAAGCGCCCAGGGCGCTCTCCAAATTAGAAATAGGGGGCTCTTAGAATATTAGCGTTTCCGTGGTTTATGCTGACAGCCTGAAATGTTTATGTACGACAGATATTTATCCAGAATTTAATTGCCCATAATTAAGAGCACATAATTAACACACGAGTTCGCATTATACGCGAATAAATGAGTCTTGTGTACATTGATCAATCGGAAGGGGTGCTTATTGGGATATATTAGCAAATATTGCCGTGGGTGCTTATTAGAGCGGGGCGCTTATTACATCGAATACGGTAATACTAGTAAATAATACTGAAGTGATTTTGTTTCATTTGTTCATTGTTTCCTTATTTTGATGGTACAAAATTAATGCGCATAGAATTAAAAGGACCTTCCGTCACTCGCATTTTTCGCATTAATATTCTGCTCGCATTAATTTCCTGTTTTACAGTAACAAGAACATACCTCTTCAGGAACGTCGTTAGCTGCTCCTGCACTTTAGGCATCCTCGTCGCAGCTCCCATGAGAATAACCTCGCTGATCTCACCCTGAACAAATGAAGGGTGTGAGCTACATTGTCTGAGTGAGTGAGTGAGTGAGTGAGTGAGTGAGTGAGTGAGTGAGTGAGTGAGAGAGAGTTGGGTTTAACTTCGCTTTTAACAGTACTACAGTTATATCATGGTGTGTCAGCTTAATGTGAGAGGACAGCCCCAAGTGATGCAGGTCTCAGACGTTTACCACCAAAGTATTAAACCAAATAATTTTCTTATGTTTTTTTTATTTGTTGAAAGTTGCAATTGGCAAAGATTCGGGGGGACTGGTAAGTTTGAGAGCCAGCGGGAACACTGCATGGTGAAATATATCGTAGGGGTTGACCATTTGGTGAAACCCACGTCACTGGTATGGTGCAGACAGTGTACAAACTCATGACCGTTGATCTGTGGCATCGATACCATGTGACCGCCTGTGACTCTCTTACACATATACATTATCTGTTGTAGCTTCAGCTGAATGTTTGGCAAGCTTGGTATCCTTCTGGTTGGTTGGTTGGTCGTTGAACACCGCACTCAGCAATATTCCAGCTATATGACGGCGGTCTGTAAATAATCGAGTCTGGACCAGACAATCCAGTGATTGGTATCATGATCATCGATCCACGCAATTGGGACCGATGACATGCATCAACCAAGTTAGTCGCCTTTTACGACAAGCATAGTCGCCTTTGACGGTAAGCATGGGTTGCTGAAGACCCATTCTACCCCGTAATCTTCACGGGTCTGGTGTCCTTCTGTAGACTGTTTCTACATACCATGGTTATCTCGGATATACGGAGGGCTTCTTCTATCGGTTTGATGACCCGTGGGAAGAAATCCTCACACAACTCTTCCAGGTCTTCCCTCGTCACTTTGGCCCTGAAGTCATTCTCATCAAGCAGCCCCTCGACCTGTAGACAATGTGAGTAGACGATGACAACAATGTGGGTTGACGTAGACAACAATGTGAGTAGACGATGACAACAATGTGAGTAGACGTAGACAACAATATGAGTAGACGTAGACAACAATATGAGTAGACGTAGACAACAATATGAGTAGACGATGACAACAATGTGAGTAGATCAGGACAACAATGTGAGTAGACGGTGACATTAATGTGAGTAGATGACAACAATATGAGTAGAGTAAGTGAGTGAGTTGGGTTTAACGCCGCTTTTAACAGTATTCCAGTTATATCACGGCGTGTCAGCTTAATGTGGGTGGAAAGCCCGAAGTGATGCAAGTCTCAGACGTTTACCACTTTGGTGAAACCCACGAGCACGGGTATGGTGCTGACAAACCTAGAAACATAATCGGGTCGAACCGGGGTTCCAACCCACAATCATAGGTTTCTGGCGTGCCCAAGGGACGCAACTCTGCACAGCGAATCCAAGCTCCTTAGACGACTGGGCCACCCGTGCCCCCCAATGTGAGAGAACGACAACAATGTGAGTAGACTATAGAAACAATGTCAGTAGACGGGAGAAACAACGTCAGTAGACGGGAGAAAAAACGTTACTAGATAATAGAAACGGTGTCAGCAGGCGATTAAAACAATGTCAGTAGACGATAGAAACAATATCAGTAGATGACAACAATGTCAGCAGACGATGGAAATAATGTCAGTAGAGTGTGAAAACAGTGTCAGTAAACGATGACAACAATGTCAGTAGACGATGGAAATAATGTCAGTAGAGTTAAAAACAGTGTCAGTAAACGATGACAACAATGTCAGTAGACGATGGAAATAATGTCAGTAGAGTGTGAAAACAATGTCAGTAAACGATGACAACAATGTCAGTAGATGATGGCAATAATGTCAGTAGAGTGTGAAAACAATGTCAGTAAACGATGACAACAATGTCAGTAGACGATGGAAATAATGTCAGTAGAGTGTGAAAACAGTGTCAGTAAACGATGACAACAATGTCAGTAGACGATGGAAATAATGTCAGTAGAGTGTGAAAACAATGTCAGTAAACGATGACAACAATGTCAGTAGACGATGGAAATAATGTCAGTAGAGTGTGAAAACAATGTCAGTAAACGATGACAACAATGTCAGTAGACGATGGAAATAATGTCAGTAGAGTGTAAAAACAATGTCAGTAGATGACAACAATGTCAGCAGACAACGGAAATAATGTCAGTAGAGTGTGAAAACAATGTCAGTAAACGATGACAACAATGTCAGTAGACGATGGAAATAATGTCAGTAGAGTGTAAAAACAATGTCAGTAGATGACAACAATGTCAGTAGACGATGGAAATAATGTCAGTAGAGTGTGAAAACAATGTCAGTAAACGATGACAACAATGTCAGTAGACGATGGAAATAATGTCAGTAGAGTGTGAAAACAATGTCAGTAAACGATGACAACAATGTCAGTAGACGATGGAAATAATGTCAGTAGAGTGTGAAAACAATGTCAGTAAACGATGACAACAATGTCAGTAGACGATGGAAATAATGTCAGTAGAGTGTGAAATCAATGTCAGTAAACGAAGACAACAATGTCAGTAGACGATGGAAATAATGTCAGTAGAGTGTAAAAACAATGTCAGTAGATGACAACAATGTCAGTAGACGATGGAAATAATGTCAGTAGAGTGTGAAAACAATGTCAGTAAACGATGACAACAAAGTCAGAAGACGATGGAAATAATGTCAGTAGAGTGTGAAAACAATGTCAGTAAACGATGACAACAATGTCAGTAGACGATGGAAATAATGTCAGTAGAGTGTAAAAACAATGTCAGTAGATGACAACAATGTCAGCAGACAATTGAAATAATGTCAGTAGAGTGTGAAAACAATGTCAGTAAACGATGACAATGTCAGTAGACGATGGAAATAATGTCAGTAGAGTGTGAAAACAATGTCAGTAAACGATGACAACAATGTCAGTAGACGATGGAAATAATGTCAGTAGAGTGTAAAAACATTGTCAGCAGACAGTGAAAATATTATCAGCAGACGATGAAATCAATGTTAGTAGACAGAGAAAACACTGCAAGTTTTAAGGCCGTGCTAAAACAAATGAGGACAAATGACCTTCAATGAATCCACTGACCTGAGCATGGTGGTCTGGGTTCGCACTCAGGACTTGCTTCACACGATCCGCTTCTTTTAACAGTTTAGCCATCGATCTCTCATTCTTGAAGACATCATTCTTCGTCTTTTTCTGCTCATTAAACACTTTGGCAAGGTGGTTCCGCAGTCTCAGAGTCACGTCAAGGCCGCCTAGTGTTCGGTCAAACCTGAAATGGAGAAACGGATTGTCTGAACACAGGTGATGGGACCTATTCTAACCCGAGTCTTGATGATGTGACTAACAACAGTCTCGATGATGTGACTAACAATAGAGTGCTGGGATCCATTCTAACCCGAGTCTTGATGTGACTAACAACAGTCTCGATGATGTGACTAACAACAGAGTGCTGGGATCTATTCTAACCTGAGTCTTGATGATGTGACTAACAACAGTCTCGATGATGTGACTAACAACAGAGTGCTGGGATCCATTCTAACCCGAGTCTTGATGTGACTAACAACAGTCTCGATGATGTGACTAACAACAGAGTGCTGGGATCTATTCTAACCTGAGTCTCGATGATGTGACTAACAACAGAGTGTTGGGATCTATTCTAACCTGAGTCTTGATGATGTGACTAACAACAGAGTCTCGATGATGTGACTAACAACAGAGTGCCGGGATATATTCTAACACTGGTCCTGATGGGGCCAGAACATGTCAGCGAGGCTATCTTCTGGGACGGTCTGATGAAGCGGTGGAGCTACTTACCCCACACCCTTGATGACGACTTGGGGGTTGGTCTCCACTCTGGTGCCCTCCTTCATCTTCACAACTTGGTAGCCTGGCAACCACACGATGTATGCATCAAGAGCCAATAACCATGGAAACTAACAGGGAAAATCTAAACTGTTTGTTTCTTTATGTTGTAGCAAAGTCACATCAAACTTACTGCTTATGTTATCACAGACATATTGCATCAATGTCACGGCAGGAATATAATTATCGCTCGTCAATCGTTTACCATTTTATCTATATCGCAGTACCATCCATCGATCCAAGTGACTGAGAGAGTATGTTTGTTTGCTTGCCGCACTCAGCAATATTCCAGCTATATGACGGTGGTCTGTAAAATAATAGTCTGGACCAGATAATCCAGTGATTGACATCATGAGCATCGATCCACCCAATTGGGATCGATGACATGTATCAACCAAGTCAGCAAGCCTGAACACCCGATCCCGTTAGTCGCCTTTTACGACAAGCAGAGTCGCCTTTTACCGCAAGCATGGGTTGCTGAAGACCTATTCTACCCCGGAATCTTCACGGGTCCTGAGCGAGTATGGTTTTACGCCACTTTTGGCAATATTCCAGCAATATGATGGTAACAGACACCAGAGTCGATAACTGAAGCCCTCACATAACAGAGCAGGGGGCAGCCTCAGAGAAGACTCAGTTACCTCCTGTCTACTGTCACAGTGTGGGGAAAGATCAACACACTGGTTGTCTTCACAGGCCAAAGTCTCATTCTACATCTTTGTCAAAAAGAGCCAGCTGTCAATTTGACCATCTGATGTCCTATCGATCAGCTCTTAACGTAACATGGGGTGGTCGGGTAGCCTAGTGGTTAAAGCGTTCGCTCGTCACGCCGAAGACCCGGGTTCGATTCCCGACATGCGTACAATGTGTGAAGCCCATTTCTGGTGTCCCCTGCCGTGATATTGCTGGAATATTACTAAAAGCGGCGTAAAACCATACTCACTCACTCTCTTAACGTAACCATGGCAATCAAATATTAACTTGTGACACTGACTTTCAGTATTCCAACCGTTGGACGAGAGTGAACAGATCTCAACAACTGACTTTCTTAATAGCAGATGCTGCACAAGATGATGGGTTCGATTCGGTTTGTTGTTATACGCCGCACTCAGCTATATTCCAGCTATATGATGATGGTCGGTAAATAATCAAGTCTGGACCAGACAATCCAGTGATTGATATCATGGGCATAGATCCACGCAATTAGGATCGATGACATGCTTCAACAAGGCAGCGAGTCTGACCACCCGATCCCATTAGTCGCCTCTTACGACAAGCATAGTCGCCTCTTACGACAAGCATAGTCGCCTTTTACGACAAGCACAGTTGCCTCTTACGACAAGCATAGTCGCCTCTTACGACAAGCATAGTCGCCTCTTACGACAAGCATAGTCGCCTTTTACGTCTTTTAGTTAATGGTATTTCGGTTTTTAGGAAGTTGGTCTTAAATCCTTATTACTTTGGTGACACCCACCAGAGTGAGTGAGTATGGTTTTATGCCGTTTTTAGCAATATTCCAGCAATATCACGGCGGGGGACACCAGAAATGGGCTTCACACATTGTACCCATGTCGGGATTCGAACCCGGGTCTTCGGCGTGACGAGCCAACGCTTTAACCACTAGGCTACCCGACCGCCCCCCTTACGACATGAATGATATAAAGAATGTCTGAATTCTTGATTTGTCAGATGGAATTGTTGTTGTGACTCACCTACAACGGTGGCGACGGTGCTGGTGGCGCCCATGTCGTAGAAGATGTAGTACTGCATGGTGGAGTTGAAGTTCTTCCTCCTGAACACACCGTAGTTCAAGGCCACTGGTAGAAAACAATCGGATTTTGTTGAGATAAGGTTTCTTGACGTTTACAAATGTGTCAGTAGCTTGCAAGTGTTTCACATAGATAAGGCCCACTCATATCAAATTGATGACTGGACAACTCGTATCACAGATGACAGGACCACTCGTACCCAATATCTCAGAGATGACTGGACCACTCGTACCCCATATCACATAGATGACTGGACCATTCGTACCAAATATCACATAGATGACTGGACCACTCATACCCCATATCACATAGATGACAGGACCATTCGTACCAAATATCACATAGATGACTGGACCACTCGTACCCCATATCACATAGATGACTGGACCATTCGTACCAATTATCACATAGATGACTGGACCACTCATACCCCATATCACATAGATGACAGGACCACTCGTACCCAATATCACATAGATGACTGGACCACTCATACCCCATATCATATAGATGACTGGACCACTCATACCCCATATCAAATAGATGACTGGACCACTCATACCCCATATCACATAGATGACTGGACCACTCATACCCCATATCAAATAGATGACTGGACCACTCATACCCCATATTACATAGATGACTGGACCACTCATACCCCATATTACATAGATGACTGGACCACTCATACCCCATATTACATAGATGACTGGACCACTCATACCCCATATCAAATAGATGACTGGACCACTCATACCCCATATTACATAGATGACTGGACCACTCATACCCCATATCACATAGATGACTGGACCACTCATACCTCATATCATATAGATGACAGGACCACTCGTACCCCATATCACATAGATGACTGGACCACTCATACCTCATATCACATAGATGACTGGACCACTCATACCCCATATTACATAGATGACTGGACCACTCATACCCCATATTACATAGATGACTGGACCACTCATACCCCATATTACATAGATGACTGGACCACTCATACCCCATATCACATAGATGACTGGACCATTCATACCCCATATCACATAGATGACTGGACCACTCATACCCCATATTACATAGATGACTGGACCACTCATACCCCATATTACATAGATGACTGGACCACTCATACCCCATATTACATAGATGACTGGACCACTCATACCCCATATCACATAGATGACTGGACCACTCATACCTCATATCACATAAATGACTGGAACACCCATACCTCATATCACATAGATGACTGGACCACTCATACCTATATCACATAGATGACTGGACCACTCATACCTCATATCATATAGATGACTGGACCACTCATATCATATAGATGACTGGACCACTCATACCCCATATCACATAGATGACTGGACCACTTATACCCTATATCACATAGATGACTGGACCACTCATACCCCATATCACATAGATGACAGGACCACTCATACCCCATATCAAATAGATGACTGGACCATTCGTACCAAATATCACATAGATGACAGGACCACTCATACCCCATATCACATTGATGAGTGGACAACTCATACCCCATATCACATAGATGAGTGGACCACTCATACCCCATATCACATAGATGAGTGGACCACTCATACCCCATATCACATAGATGACTGGACCACTCATACCTCATATCACATAGATGACTGGACCACATATACCTCATATCACATAGATGAGTGGACCACTCATACCTCATATCATATAGATGACTGGACCACTCATACCCCATATCACATAGATGACTGGACCACTCATACCTCATATCACATAGATGACTGGACCACATATACCTCATATCACATAGATGACTGGACCACTCATACCCCATATTACATAGTTGACTGGACCACCCATATTACATCGATGACTGTAGCACTCATATTACATAGATGACAGGACCACTCCTACCCCATATTACATAGTTGACTGGACCACTCATATTACATAGATGACTGGACCACTCATATCAAATAGTTGACAGGACCACTCATACCCCATATCACAGAGATGATAGACACGAAGCAGGTTAAAGACATTTACCACCCATGAGTATGGTCCTAACAAACCAAGAATCGGGGGGAAATGAGGGATTCAAACCCATGGCCATCAGTTCCCCGACACCATGGCTATATCCCATCGCGCGAACGTCACAAGGAAGTAGCAACATACCGGCGGCGTTGTCACTCATCAACTGCAGAACGTTGAGTCCGATCATGTCGGCGGCGCTCTTCACGGCCCGTCTCTCCGCCTGGTTGAAGTACGCTGGCACGGTGATGACGGCATCCTTGATAGGGTGGTCTGCAGGGGAGAAAGGACACGTGGCAACACCTCAAGATAGGCTATGTACTGGTGTAAAATGTCAAAATAAATCACCACTACCTCGTTTAATTTTGAGTTATTTCCTTTAATGGCATTTAGAAGTTGGAATGATGAACAAGAGAGATAGTTCTCTGGATATACAACTTCTCAGCATCAGAAATGGCACTAGTCCTGTAGTCCTGTAGTCCTTGCCAAACTGTTAAGGTATCCTGAGGACTAGCAGAAATTTGCTCTCGTTAAGGATTTTACTATATGTTATTATAAGGACTAGTGGACTAAAACTGTTAGTTTCTATCATTGCTTCTTAATCACAATGAATGCAACATTTCGGTGTAGGTCTAACACTACTATCAAGCAAGTGATGTTTTGTTTGTTTGTTTGTTGTTTAACCTTGCACTCAGCAGTATTCCAGCTATATGATGGTGGTCGGTAAATAATTGAGTCTGGACCAGACAATCCAGTGATTATTATCATGAGCATCGATCCACGCATTTGGGATTGATGACATGTATCAACCAAATCAGCGAGCCTGACCACCCGATCCTGTAAGTCGCCTCTTACGACAAGGATGGGTTGCTGAAGACCTGTTCTACCCCGGATCTTCACGGGTCTCATGTGCATGAAGTCCAAATGTCTCACTGCTAGTAACTCGGTGTTCATTGTCTTCAAGAAAGATTGCAAGTAATAACACAGAGGTCACAAGTATAATGCAATGTAAAGTGAGTGAGTGAGTATGGTTTTACGCCGCTTTTAGCAATATTCCAGTAATATCATGGCGGGGGACATCAGAAATGGGCTTCACACATCTTCGGCGTAACGAGCTGACGCTTTAATCACTAGGCTACCCGACCACCCCCAATGTAAAGTGAAAACGCTATGTCCACTAGACCACAGAGGTATGTAAAGTGAAAACAAACTTCTTGTAGTATAAAGAAATAAAAATGTCTAACATCAGCAATATTCCAGACATATCATTGGGGTTGGGATCACTGCAGACCTGTGAAAACGGTCGGGTATAAGAATTTTAGGGTAAGATGAGGTGAAATGGGGCTTAGCGTTGTGTTCAAGATTATTGCACTTATAAAGCGACGTGCATGCACGTGTGTGTGGCTGCTTGTACTAGTCCGGACTGATGTCGATTTATAGCGCTAGCACACTGAGATACCCACTCAGACACAGTATACTGACTCTAAGCCAACCAGTCCTTGTTTTAGCCCCTTAATGCCGAACACCAGGCAGTGGAACAACAAGTACCATCTATTAACGTCTCTTTGTATGATGCAGATGGGTGGGGGGTTGTGAACCACAGAACTTCCGCTCTCTGGGCAGACGCTATGTCCACTAGACCACAGAGGTAGGAGAATATCACCATCACTTTGTTGATCGGTGACACTGCTCCCAACTCTGCTCCATAGGTGACTATTAAAATGTTAAACAGCTGCAATATTAATGAGTGCGTTGCTAAAAATCAAACAAACGTTACTGCAAAAATTCGTCCCCTAATTACCTCCAAACTCCTCGGCATACTCCCGGGCAGACTCAAGGATCATAGCAAGCAGCTCTTCCGGCGTGTAGGTCGTCTCCCCACTGAAACAACACCCATGACATCACCACCAGGGTCTACAGACACACCATAGCATACACCCTAGACACACCATAGCATACAACCTAGACACACCATAGCATACACCCTAGACACACCATACACCCTAGACACACCATAGCATACACCCTAGCATACACCCTAGACACACCATAGCATACACCCTAGACACACCATAGCATACACCCTAGACACACCCTAGACACACCATAGCATACACCCTAGACACACCCTAGCATACACCCTAGACACACCATAGCATACACCCTAGACACACCATAGCATACACCCTAGACACACCCTAGACACACCATAGCATACACCCTAGACACACCATAGCATACACCCTAGACACACCCTAGCATACACCCTAGACACACCATAGCATACACCCTAGCATACACCCTAGACACACCATAGCATACACCCTAGACACACCATAGCATACACCCTAGACACACCCTAGGCACACCATAGCATACACCCTAGACACACCATAGCATACACCCTAGACACACCATAGCATACACCCTAGACACACCATAGCATACACCCTAGACACACCATACACCCTAGACACACCAGAGCATACACCCTAGACACACCAGAGCATACACCCTAGCATACACCCTAGACACACCATAGCATACACCCTAGACACACCAGAGCATACAACCTAGACACACCATAGCATACACCCTAGACACACCCTAGACACACCATAGCATACACCCTAGACACACCATAGCATACACCCTAGACACACCATAGCATACACCCTAGACACACCATACACCCTAGACACACCAGAGCATACACCCTAGACACACCAGAGCATACACCCTAGACACACCATAGCATACACCCTAGACACACCAGAGCATACACCCTAGACACACCAGAGCATACAACCTAGACACACCATAGCATACACCCTAGCATACACCCTAGACACACCATAGCATACACCCTAGACACACCATAGCATACACCCTAGACACACCCTAGACACACCATAGCATACACCCTAGACACACCATAGCATACACCCTAGACACACCATAGCATACACCCTAGACACACCATAGCATACACCTTAGACACACCAGAGCATACACCCTAGACACACCAGAACATACACCCTAGCATACACCCTAGACACACCAGAGCATACACCCTAGACACACCAGAGCATACACCCTAGACACACCAGAGCATACACCCTAGACACACCAGAGCATACAACCTAGACACACCAGAACATACAACCTAGACACACCATAGCATACACCCTAGACACACCCTAGACACACCATAGCATACACCCTAGACACACCATAGCATACACCCTAGACACACCATAGCATACACCCTAGACACACCAGAACATACACCCTAGACACACCAGAACATACACCCTAGCATACACCCTAGACACACCAGAGCATACACCCTAGACACACCAGAGCATACACCCTAGACACACCAGAGCATACACCCTAGACACACCAGAGCATACAACCTAGACACACCAGAACATACAACCTAGACACACCATAGCATACACCCTAGACACACCCTAGACACACCATAGCATACACCCTAGACACACCATAGCATACACCCTAGACACACCATAGCATACACCCTAGACACACCATAGCATACACCCTAGACACACCATACACCCTAGACACACCAGACCATACACCCTAGACACACCATAGCATACACCCTAGACACACCAGAGCATACACCCTAGACACACCAGAGCATACAACCTAGACACACCATAGCATACACCCTAGCATACACCCTAGACACACCATAGCATACACCCTAGACACACCATAGCATACACCCTAGACACACCCTAGACACACCATAGCATACACCCTAGACACACCATAGCATACACCCTAGACACACCCCAGCATACACCCTAGACACACCAGAGCATACACCCTAGACACACCAGAGCATACACCCTAGACACACCAGAACATACACCCTAGACACACCATAGCATACACCCTAGCATACACCCTAGACACACCAGAGCATACACCCTAGACACACCAGAGCATACACCCTAGACACACCAGAGCATACACCCTAGACACACCATAGCATACACCCTAGACACACCCTAGACACACCATAGCATACACCCTAGACACACCATAGCATACACCCTAGACACACCATAGCATACACCCTAGACACACCATACACCCTAGACACACCAGAGCATACACCCTAGACACACCATAGCATACACCCTAGACACACCATAGCATACAACCTAGACACACCATAGCATACACCCTAGACACACCATACACCCTAGACACACCATAGCATACACCCTAGACACACCATACACCCTAGACACACCATACACCCTAGACACACCATACACCCTAGACACACCATACACCCTAGACACACTGTACACCCTAGACACACTGTACACCCTAGACACACTGTACACCCTAGACACACTGTACACCCTAGACACACCATACACCCTAGACACACCATACACCCTAGACACACCATACACCCTAGACACACCATACACCCTAGACACACTTTACACCCTAGACACACCGTACACCCTAGACACACCATACACCCTAGACACACCATACACCCTAGACACACCGTACACCCTAGACACACCATACACCCTAAACACACCATACACCCTAGACACACCATACACCCTAGACACACCATACACCCTAGACACACACATATAGGGAACGTCTTGTGTAATGATGGGACACTCATGAACATTTTAGTTTTGCCATTTGGAAGTTTTAATACTATTACCGTATTCGACATATTAAGCGCCACGCTCTTATAAGCGTCGAATACGGTATGACGAACAAAAATGTTTTCCAAACATCTGTCCAATACTCCACTTAAGCTCAGTGTTCATAATGAGCACAATCCACGTAGCCTGTTGCTACTGTATGTCCTCTCTGGCTAGTGAAAATAGAATCAAGGTAGTCCGACTTAACTTTCTATCTATTCACCTGTCAACTGTGAAACTTTGAAAGAGGAATACCCAGCCAAAATGGTCAGTAGCTCGATTTTAGTGAGTGAGCGAGTATGGTTTAACCCGCATTAGAAATTGGCACTAGTCTTATAGCCCTTGCCAAACTGCACAATAGTTAAGGTATCATAAGGACGAGTTAAAATTTGTCATTTTTAAGGGTTTTGCTATATGATATCACTATGAGCACTAGAGGACTGAACATTTTAGTTTCTACCGCTTGTTTTATGCCGCTCTTAGCAATATTCCAGCAATATTATGACAGGTAACACCCGAAATGGGCTTCACACATTGTAACCATATGGGGAATCGAACCCAGGTCTTTGGTGTAGCGGGCGAACGATTTCACACTGAGGCTACCCCACCGCCCTAGCAAAATTTTAAATTTCAACATAAGGAATTTTGTATCCCGGGCAACCGTAGAGCAAAGATGATCATAACTCCTATACTTTATTGCAGCGTACATGTTCAGGCCTACGTTGGTCATTACGCTAACGCATGCTTATATTTGGGTGGTCAGGCTCGCTGACTTGGTTGATGCTTATCATCGTATCGCAATTGCGTGGATCCATGCTCATGATGTCAATGACTCGACTGTCTGGTTCAGATTTGATTATTTTCAGGCTGACGTCATATAGCTGGAATATTGCTGAGTGCTGCGTTAAACATCAAACAAACAAACAAACAAACAAACACAACATCTTGTTGAATGAGGCCCAGTCTGGATTATTAGGGATACAAAATCCAGGATATTATTTGGCAAAGATACGCAGCAAGCGAAAAACTCACTCCTCAGTTCGGAACAGAACCGTCCCCCTCTCTTCGTCCTTCACCAAGTCATAGAAGGGGAAGCGTTCCTTGTACAGCTGAACCTGCGGGTCGTCAAAGTGTCGGCCTACAACGTGTGTCAAATACCAGAAGGCCTTGCGGGGGAACCGGACAGACTGAAACAGCAACATGCGTTCATTCTCTTAGATAAAATATATACAAAGAAAAACAAGCATAACAGACACACAAAAGCCGCCTGGGACTTGCTCTAAAGATTCAATGACACTGATTTTTTTTTTTATTAATATGCTGCTAGCTGACCCACCCACCGACTGAGTGAGTGAGTTGGGTTTAACGTCGCTTTTAACAGTATTCCAGTTATATCACGGCGTGTCAGCTTAATGTGGGGGGAAAGCCCGAAGTGATGCAGACTCAGACGTTTACCGCTTCGGTGAAAACCACGAGCACGGGTATGGTGCTGACAAACCTAGAAACATAATCGGGTAACGAACCCACAATCATAGGTTTCTGGCATGCCCTAGGGACGCAACTCTGCACAACGAATCGCGGCACCTAAGGTGACCGGGCCACCCGTTACCATGGTTACTATACAAGATCACTGGGAGCAGTGGTCATCAGACACTCTGTTGTTTTCAATTTGTTTCGATGGAATTAGAAATAATTTGAAAGGTAAAAAAAATCAAAACACAACAGTCACCAGTTGAAAACATCTTTGAGGAGTCAGAAAAAACAAATGATACGTGAGTTGTGCTCTGAGATGGAACCCTTCATTTAATGGAAATTAAGTTGTTGTTGGCAACCAGAAATAACCATAATCTCCCCAATTCCTTAAAAGCAAAAGGCACCCGACTGATATCCATGATATCTGTGCAAACCTTGACAAAAATTATCGAACCATCCTTTCATTGTGCTCCAGGAACAATCTGACAGACAGAAGAATGGACGGGACAGCACCCATTCTTAAAATCGGCCTCCGACTTCACAACGTTAGAGAAAACAAAGCATAAGTGAGTTGTGGATAGGGCCGCTTTGAACAGAATATCAGATATATCTTTAAATCTTTGAGTATACATCCACCCATTGAGTTATAAAACATAACCTGCACCAAATGACACAAAATCTCTGAAAAGTTGGTTGCTGTGATAGGTAGAACTCGGCAAGTTCCCACCAAAGACAAGCACTTGTGTATTATTATATACCCAGCACCCCTGAAATAGAATGGACTGTGCTGTTTATGCAAATGCATCGGGGTCATCGGTCTATGCAGGGGTAGAAACTAACATTTTAGTCCACTAGTTCATACAATGATAACATATAGCAAAACCCTTTAAAATTGCACATTTCTACTCGTCCTTATGATACTTTTACCACTGGCCAGTTGGTAAGGGCTACAGGACTAGTGCCACTTTCTACCACTCTGTATTCCAATCTGTGTTACCAGCTGGTGTATCACTACTGGCCAGCCAGACAGTGACAGCCAACATTGATTCAAGTCAACACTATTCCAGCTGAGGGACTTTAAGTGACCATGGCCGACACACACGGGGCAATATATCATAATTTTGTCTAAAAAATGTAAGATGTTTTTCAAAGTGATTATTTTTATTATACAGGGTTATTTCTACATTGAATTTGGAATAATGTAAACCTGGGGACCAAAGACTCTTCCTTAATATTGCCCGGTTATTAGTGACAGAGCACCAGGTAACTTTCTGAGCAATTGAGTTTTTACTCTAGGGTTTCTATTTTAATTGTGTTATTACATTTTTCATTGGGTAACCACTATTTTTTCACTCATCTATTCATCAAGCTATTGGGTTTTTCCCATATTAGTGAACATTTTAAGATTTAAAAAAATGAAATAAGGTTTTAGATGTACATAACTGTTCTTAGTATATAGGCTTGACTCGGAAAGTAAATTAGCTTGTGTTTCAGAAATTAGCTCCTTTGTACGCATGCTGAAAAAGCTTCATTGGGAATTTACGGGACCCGTTTTAATGTATTTCAGTTATTCATTTAATGCATAATGGGTGGGGGTGGTGGGATTTTTACGCAAATACGCAGCTTATCTGTAGCGAAATACAAGTCACCTCCTGAAAGCCATAACATTATTTATAACAACAACAGCATGAATTGAAGGTTTTTTTATTCCTGTAAGGGAATTTATAGACATTTGCTGCAGACAAAAATTTGTCTGGACAAATCCCGGCAGCTGCCATAGAGAGTTGAAAAATAATAATTAATTGAGACTGGACCAGAAAAAATTGGGACTAAACAAACCAAACATGATCCATCACACTGGAGAGGGCTGATACAGTCAAACCAGGGCCCCACATACTCACAATAATAATAAGACCATATATAGACCAGCATATTTCCAGACCACACTGGGACAAACTCAAACATCTGCATTATTATTTCTCATGTAGTGGATGACTGTGCACTCCATTTTCACCTTCATCTGTGGTGGTAATAATTATGTGCTGGGGGCCAATGTACTTGTAAATGGTACACCAGGGCCCACTTGTACAAAACGATCTTAGTGCTAAGACTATTGTAAACCTATGCTAAAGTATGGGAGTTAAGATCATCTTAGCGCTAAGATCGCATTGTGCAAATGGGCCCTGATCCGTAGACAAAGTCTCACCGTGGTGTACGCCTGGTTGGCGAACTGTCTCTCCCCGTCACGGAACGCCACCAGTGTACGCGTCTTGCGACTGGACTCCCTGTTTGTGACGATCTCCATGGGAACGCCAGGCTACAAAATAAAATGGTGGCTTGTGTGACTGATCTGGCACAAAATTAAGCTTCAGGTTCTTCTCCATCTTTCCGAGGAGATAACTGACAATAAAAGTCCAGTTTCCACCCTTGCACCAAATGGTGCTGACAAACCTAGAAACATAATCGAGGTGAACTGGGATTGGAACCCACAATCATAGGTTTCAGGCATGCCCAAGGGACGCAACTCTGCACAGCGAATTGTAGTGCCTTAGATGACTGGGCCACCCGTGCGCCCCTCCAGTATTTGAGTCTCAAGACTTCCATCTTTAGCATTAGGCCTAGAGTATGACAAAGACCTAGAATTTGGTGCTTAATTTGGTGAAGATGAAATGGAGTATAATGTCACATTACTGCACTTACACAGTTATGTGAATGTATGTGTATGTCAGCTTGCTGTAGTCTGGACTAGAAGGTTTTATAGTGCTCGCCCACTGAGATACCATGCCACAGTTTAGCATGGATACCCCACTAAGACACAGTATACTGACTCTAAACCAAACAAGTCCTTATCCCCTTAATGCTGAGCGTCAGGCAGGGTAAGAACAAGTACCATATTTTAACTTTGGCTGGCATGGCCGACCTGTGGATTGAACCTCGAACCTTCCACTCTCCATGCAGACACTATCCAATTGACCATGGAGGTGGTCACAGTTTACTTGTCAAGCTACTAACCTTAACAATGGCTATCTTCATGAACTCGGCTCCAAGATCAATGGACATGACAGCCACACCCGCTGAAAATATAACATGCAGAAATACAGTTAAGTTTTACCAGACGAAACACTCTGGTTCTCTAAGCATATGGGTTAGAAATGGTTATGCTTGTTGCTTATGTAGCAAAAGGCGACTAACGAACTCAGTAGTCATGGTCGCGGACTTGGTTGATACTCGTACATGTCATTGTATCCCAATTGCGTAGATAGATGTTCATGTCAATCACTGTATCGCCTGGTCGAGATTTGATCATTTATCATCCAAAACTGGCTCCCACAGGAGATATCGCTTGGATTAGATCAAGCGATATCTACACTGTAGATATCGCTGCAATGAAATTACATCACAATGCTTTGCAGACCATTGTGACGTCACTGGTTACCATGACGTCACAATCAAATGACATCACTAAGGGCTCTGCTACTGAAGCTGTTAGCAGTACTTTTTACACTGAAAACACTGCTAATTATGTCTACAAATTGAAAAAGTTGGAAGAATGATGTTGGATGATAAATAAAATCTCACCCTCGTGTCTTTTGATATCAAATATATCAACACTCGTTGATAAAAGTGGCAAAATTCCTCGGCAAGCCTCGGAATTTTTCCACTTTTATCAACGAGTGTTGATATATTTGACATCAAAAGACACTCGGTTGAGATTCTCTATTTATTGACCGGCATCATATTGCTGAGTGCTATGTTTAAACAACAAACAGAAATAACCTGGCTATTCACATTGATTTTTGTGCAGCCATGATGGAATAGGTGAGCCAACCTGTAGCTAAACACAAAGGGAGTCTTATTTAGCTTGTTGATATCTGGGATGAGCTGATTGTCTCTAAATTAAGATAGCCCTTAAATACTACAATTATCATCACTATGTGCAAAACCATTTTTCTGCTCAGTGGGGAAAAATATTACCTGTTAGTCCGATAAAGCTGCATAGCACAGCACCAAGTACTGTTATACCCAGCCTCATGTTCTGGAACATAAATAATAAGTATTATCGCAGGGTTCGCATTACTTATAAGTTAGTACACCATCATGAAAATGTATGGATATTAAATTTAGTTAGTATATTTATATCAATGATATAAAATAAATACAAACGAAATTATCATTACTTTTTACACCATGCAATCAAAACTGTGTATTTCGCCTGTGGTTGAAACAAGTAACTTACGACACAATGTACTTAATTGGGTCATCTGAAGTCTGTAATACGCAAGAATTGAAAATTTGAAAATTGAAAGAGGGACCATTTATTTCCCGGTTATGTGTAAACTGTAAACTTCGTCCTAGGCTAAAAGACATTTCAATAATTACACCTTGTTCAGTTGTTTTTTAACAACATCTTGTTCTGTTAAGAAACGTGATATATAATTCGAAACACATATAAAAGGTTTCGTGTGAAAATAGAGTTAAAAACCTTTTTTTTAAATCGATCGGTTGGAACAGATGTGGACTGCACATATACAGAGGTTTCGAGAACGTCAAATTAAACACGTTGTACCCACGTGGAGACCAGCATCGGCGATACAGACATGGAATTAAATTGGTCCAGGTACGTATGGTGATAAAAGAAATGGCTTACCCGTTCTCTTGTGTCGTATTGTTTATATCTCTCTCATACACGTTGTTTTAGCGAAATTTCTATCTCTTTACTAGCTTTCACAGTCAGCCGGCTGATCGGGCTGTCAGGAGTTGCGAATGTGGCGATTTCTGATTGGTGGAATTATTACTTCCGGGACCGGTTTGGGTAACCACACGTACACTTCCGGTGTGTTCATCCAAGCGGAGATAATTGAATATTGGCCATATATCACACGATATCGAAGCTGATGCAATGGAAACAAGCTATTTTCGTGTCCGATTCCGATTAGATTACATTTGGAGAGAATTTGAGCGTGAAGATATGTTCGTTCACATTCAATTCCGTGGAGTGTCTGCCGACATTGTGGGGTAAAGCGATCGCACGGCAGTATTTGGTTAACAGACGTTGGAGGTCAGACGTGATATCGACTTATGTAAGATGGCTGGAAAACTTGCAATTTAAATATTCAGACACCACAGGAACTCGTTATTGGTCAGTAAATAAAAATATATACCCCCTATATGTAAGTAGCGAATATACTTACACTGTGGCTGATTTCTTTCAGCTTTGTCAATTTTGCAACCAAACAAACTGCATGATTTTGTCCTGTAGTAAGGGATCGGGGTGTCTCGTTTGGCGATTTGGCCGTTGCTCATAATATCAATCACCGAACTGTCTAGTTCCGATGTTAATCATTTTGACAGTGCATGTAACAATGCAAACAATATAAAATGTGTACATAAAAGGTTTACTTAATTTGTTATAAGATCTATATTGTCAGAATCATACAAAATCTTCTAAAATATTCTGTGTTCGTCTTAATTGATAGATCATACTAGGTTCAGACAATTATCTGTGCAGTCAGACCTATATTGTGTTGTTTTGAAATGTCTGACCCCAACTTGTTTTGTTTGTTGTTTAATGCCGCTCACAGCTATATGACAGGGGTCTGGAAATAATCCAGTGATTGGTATTTTGATCAACGATCCATGCCAAGGGGTACATGACTCCCGGTCAACCAAATCTCCGAACCTGACCATCCAATCCATTTGATCGATAATATTTAGGTCCGTGGACTAACATAGGTTGCTAGGGACCTACTCTAACCCGGAAGCCCCAAGGGGGTGTCTGACTATACAAGCATGACGTGGCTGCCTGTAGCCATACTAATTTTCTCACCGGTGTCGTGCCGGGTTAGCGAAAATTCAATTTTCCCTAGTATCAGTAAAGCGAAAACCCAAGTTGGGGTATTTGTCCTACGAAAGCGACAAATGTGTAATTGCTATAAAAACACCGGATTACCGTAGTTTAGATTAGCGCCCGTGCTGTTCAAACAGAGGAGAGGAGAGGAGATTTACTAGAGAGTCGTTTCGTTAAAAAATAATACAGTTGGATGTTTAAACACAGAAGAAATGATCAGTTTCTTAATTGAACAAGCCTCTCCTCTCCTCTCCTTAATTAGAGGAGAGTCGTTTCTTAAGAATACATACAGTATGTATTTGAGGGTATATATAAAGAGTGCAACTTGTTTATCTATGTGGTGTCACATATACACGGACGGATCTTCAGATCCGACCGCCAAACACACAGGTTTCGGAGTCCATACCACACAACCAACTAAAACCACACAATCCTTCCGACTCCCAAACAACCAATCAATATTCACGGCAGAACCAATGGGCATGGCCTCAGTCCTCCATAATCAAGAATCCAAAAACCACAAAAAATCCTAATACTTACCGACTCCCTAAGTGGACTGCAAGCCCTCCAAAACAAAAATACCCAAAACCGACCTAAATTAATAAATCAAATACTTAAAAGCTCCAACGACCTAACTAAGGCAGGCAAACAAATAACATTCTTGTGGATACCCGCCCACGTAGGAATATACGGTAATATAAAGCAGCTAAACTATCCCTCAAAATCCCTCTATGTCCAAAATGGCTAACGCACAAGTTCGAGTGAAAGACAATCTCGTCAACAACGTCATCGGCGACGTTGAGTACACAGATCACGTTGGTGACCTGATCCACTTGGAGTGAATGACTTGAACACAACGTGTATGCCAGTGCAACTGCAAATTTATTATAGAATGTATTTATGTATTTACCATTATATTCTAAGATATAAGTTATTGTTGTTTTTGTAGAAATTATAATGTACATCTATGAAATATTAAAGTATCAGAGTTATTAAATTTGTAAAATGTAAAGTACTTTTGTGCATCTATACTATGCTTCAGCATCTAATAAATTACTACTGTTATTACGGTATACGCATTTCTGTGTTTTTCTTGTAATTTGAGAGTCCCGGTACAGCAATATCCCGTGTTTACTGTAGCGTGACCAATCTTACTGTAGCTTCACAAAAGCGAAGAGATTTTAGAGTTCATTATGGCTAGGTTTCGCTCTCCCGGCCCAGAACCTTTCTCACCTTCACAGATATGGTTTACATTTACGATCTTCGCCAGTTCTAGGGGCCCGCGTTAGTCGAGTTCAAGAACTTCCCGTTATACCGCAATGTGATGAAAGCAACCGAACCAGGTGTCTGGATCTACCGCAACATTTGTCAACTTCAAGTGTGTACACTTAACAGTATATCAACGTGAATAAACATCACTCACACTAACTAAACCGGTTGTCCGTTGATCTGTAATCAGCCAAGAGACTTCAGCATTTGCCTCGAAAACGTGGTCAACTTTACTTGCCGAACAGGAAGCAGAGACGGCAAGTATAGCGTGCGCTATCCACTGACATCACACTCGTGAGAATTCCGGATCAGAATAGGTTAGTTGGTTAACGCCACACTCAGCAATATTACAGCTATATGACGGCAGTCTGTAAATAATCGAGTCTGGACCAGACAATCCTGTGATGATATCATGAGCATCGATCAGAGCAATTGGGATCGATGACCGTGCATCAACCAAGTCAGCGAGCCTGACCACCCGATCCCGTTAGTCGCCTTTTACGGCAAGCATGGGTTGCTGAAGACTTATTCAACCCGGGATCTTCACGGGTCTGAATCAGAATAGGTCAGAATAGGTCGTCCGCCACCTATGCTGGTCGTAAGAGTGAGTGAATTAGGTTTTACGACGCTCTTAGGAATATTCCTGGGTACACATGCATCACACCCGGCACCTATCCGCCATGTTTGTTTAAGGGTTATAATAAGCCGCACGCAACAGCATAACTATTTGGAAAATAGGACGATAAAGCTCAAAATAAGTAGAAAATATGACGGCGGTCTGTAAATAATCGATTCAATACCAGACAATCCAATGATTGACGTTATGAGCATCGATCCACGCAACTGAGATACGATGACATGCATCAACCAAGTCAGCGAGCCTGACCATCCGATCACGTTAGTCGCCTCTTTGGACAAGCATAGTCGCCTTTTACGACAAGCATGGTCAGCAGAAGACCTATTCTAAATCGAATCTTCAAGGGTGTGCTGGCATTTCGGTACACCGACGTCAGTGTAGGTTTACCGAAATTCTAGCCCTGGAGAGGATGGGCTAGGTCGCCACACTCATGATTCACCAGTTCTGAAAGCCCTATATTAATAGGTTATATTTACAATTTCAATAAAGACCTCACAACTACGCCACTCCCGATTATCAAGCGCATCACGTTTCCTTTGAGTATTTATTGATCGAAACAGACTTGAGACTTTATACATGTACTCGAGGATGCAACTGCATCAGTTACGACGTTTCTATTTACCAACGTTGAAGATGCTCAAAGATGAATTTACCACGCATACGTACTGTTAGTACGCCTCTACGCATAGGACCCGTGCGCACAATATTCGTCGAGGACCCGTGCGCTCAATATACGTCGAAGTCCCGTGCACGATACTGTTACAGGAGACGGCGCCATCCATTCGTCACCACTCGTACGTTTCCGTAACCTACATCCGGCTTGTTCCGGAATGGGGCTTTGGTGGCCTCGGATGGGCGCCTCCCGACCGTGGCCCACTACTGCGCATCTTGTTTGTTTGTTTGACGCCGACCTCAGCAATATTCCAGCTCTTTGATGGCGGCCTGTACGTTATGGAGTCTGGATCAGACAAGGCAGTGATTGATATTTTGAGACAGGGTCCCGTCGCCTGGACACGATGACAAACATAATTCTAGTTTATTAATGTTTCACTTCTGTATATGCATAAAACAACTTTATCCAAAACAAAACAAAAAACGCCTTGATAACATGTACAGAATCATTCAATAGAAATACGAGAGAAATTATTATCAAATTCGGACAGATATGCTATACGGATAAAAAAATGTGTTTTTCTTTTAAGAATTAAAAAGCAGACTTTGGTAAGTAATAAAACACCTACTGTCATCACTGAATATAAAACAAAGTTTGTTGATATCCAGTTTCATCAAAAAGAGTTGCCCTGACATCGCCATATAACAAAGAGTGAAACAAAACATGAAACTCCTATACGCTGACATTACAGTGAAAGCTTGTTCAATATTGGACAGGGGAGAGGTCTTCAGCAACCCATGCTTGTCTTCCAAGTGAAGATCCGGGTTATAATAGGTCTTCAGCAACCCATGCTCGTCTCCCCAGTGAAGATCCGGGTTATAATAGGTCTTCAGCAACCCAAGGTTGTCTTCCCAGTGAAGATGCGGGTTATAATAGGTCCTCAGCAACCCATGCTTGTCTCCTAAGTGAAGATCCGGGTTATAATAGGTCTTCAGCAACCCATGCTTGTCTCCCCAGTGAAGATCCGGGTTATAATAGGTCCTCAGCAACCCATGCTTGTCTCCTCAGTGAAGATCCGGGTTATAATAGGTCTTCAGCAACCCATGCTTGTCTCCCCAGTGAAGATCCGGGTTATAATAGGTCCTCAGCAACCCATGCTTTTCTCCCCAGTGAAGATCCGGGTTATAATAGGTCTTCAGCAACCCATGCTTGTCTCCCCAGTGAAGATCCGGGTTATAATAGGTCCTCAGCAACCCATGCTTTTCTCCCCAGTGAAGATCCGGGTTATAATAGGTCTTCAGCAACCCATGCTTTTCTCCCCAGTGAAGATCCGGGTTATAATAGGTCTTCAGCAACCCATGCTTGTCTCCCCAGTGAAGATCCGGGTTATAATAGGTCTTCAGCAACCCAAGCTTGTCTCCCCAGTGAAGATCCGGGTTGAAATAGGCTTTCAACTACCCATGCTTGTCTCCCCAGTGAAGATGCGGGTTATAATAGGTCCTCAGCAACCCATGCTTGTCTCCCCAGTGAAGATGCGGGTTGAAATAGGCTTTCAACTACCCATGCTTGTCTCCCCAGTGAAGATCCGGGTTATAATAGGTCCTCAGCAACCCATGCTTGTCTCCTCAGTGAAGATCCGGGTTATAATAGGTCTTCAGCAACCCATGCTTGTCTCCCCAGTGAAGATCCGGGTTATAATAGGTCCTCAGCAACCCATGCTTGTCTCCCCAGTGAAGATCCGGGTTATAATAGGTCTTCAGCAACCCATGCTTGTCTCCCCAGTGAAGATGCGGGTTATAATAGGTCCTCAGCAACCCATGCTTTTCTCCCCAGTGAAGATGCGGGTTATAATAGGTCTTCAGCAACCCATGCTTTTCTCCCCAGTGAAGATCCGGGTTATAATAGGTCTTCAGCAACCCATGCTTGTCTCCCCAGTGAAGATGCGGGTTATAATAGGTCTTCAGCAACCCATGCTTGTCTCCCCAGTGAAGATCCGGGTTATAATAGGTCTTCAGCAACCCATGCTTGTCTCCCCAGTGAAGATGCGGGTTATAATAGGTCTTCAGCAACCCATGCTTGTCTCCCCAGTGAAGATGCGGGTTATAATAGGTCCTCAGCAACCCATGCTTGTCTCCCCAGTGAAGATGCGGGTTGAAATAGGCTTTCAACTACCCATGCTTGTCTCCCCAGTGAAGATGCGGGTTATAATAGGTCCTCAGCAACCCATGCTTGTCTCCCCAGTGAAGATGCGGGTTGAAATAGGCTTTCAACTACCCATGCTTGTCTCCCCAGTGAAGATGCGGGTTGAAATAGGCTTTCAACTACCCATGCTTGTCGCAAGAGGCGACTTACGGGATCGGGTGGTCAGGCTCGCTGACTTGGATGATGCATGTCATTGTATCCCATCTGCGTGGATCGATGCTCATGATATAAATCACTGGATTGTCTGGTCCAGGCTCGATTATTTACAGACCGCCGTAATATAGCTGGAATTGAGGGCAGTGTTAAACAAGAAACAAACAAACAAACTTATATCAATACACAGATGTGTGTGACGAACCAATATCAAGTTCAGGTATTGCGGAATCTTGTGGCAAACCCTACACCCAAATATCTGTCTGTAACAGAATTTGTCCTGAAGTCAGTTTAATACAATCAAACCAAGAATATTGTCGAATGGATTTTTTTCCCAGCACGAGTTTTGGTTCCACCTCTACAACACGGAGATCGCGACACAGACAGAATTGTCCAGTGCCCCACGTGACAGAGCCAGCGGTTGATATAAACCCCGCGGGTATGAATACACGCTGTCAACAAACTCACAAACCTGATAGCCGAATCCAAGTTAGTCGCCTACTACGAGACGCGAAAGAGTGCTGCGTTCCTCAACATGCCGTAGTCCTGGTAGCTCCAGAGAGAAACTTCATTTAAGAATTGTAAACGAGTCCAATATATTTGTGCAAATATTTTATCATCGTTTTGCCCGTCGTTCATGGAAAGGGTTTGTTTTTGAGCCAACCTCATTTTTGGGAAAACGATTACCTCGAAATAGAAACGAAATCGTTCGTTCGTTCGTATGGTTTTACGCCGCTTTTAGCAATATTCCAGGAATATCACGGCGGGGGACACCAGAAATGGGCTTCACACATTGTAGCCATGTCGGGAATCGAACCCGGGATTTCGGCATGACGAGCAAACGCTTTAACCCACAAGGCTACCCGACCGCCCCGAATTGCGATCTTGACTATCGACACAGATCAAGCTTAGAATAGTCTTTTCCAGTAAAATCCATTGAAGTGAGTGAATATAGTGCCAATAGTCATTAATGCAAGTTGAAAGTTTAATTAACACGACAGTTTATTCATATATGTGTCAAAAAACAAAACAATAGTACATCATATTAAAATTAAGGCGTAAATGTTAAAATGAACGCACCTTAGTATATGCTGTGATAGTAACAAAAAGACATTTGTTCACAAACGGACTGTTCTTTGTGAAATATATAATACAATATTAGAGACAGCTTAAATATGAGACTATCGTCATCAAACTGTATTAGTTTCAGAAACTTTTCATAAGAGGTCCTGATTAGAAAGTACTTGGCTAAATATTTCATTCTTAACACGAATTCCAATTGTAATACCAATTTGTAAAAAAATAATGAAAATTCTGCTTACATAATCACACTTATTTTAGCATATGTTTTCTTTTTTAGTATGATTACTTTGAAATGAATCATTTGTAAAACATACGCTATATACAAACATTTTCGTGCAATCTCCATATATACGAGATTTGAACATGAGCTTTCAAAATAACCTTGAAAATGGGAGCGAAGTGTGGTAGGCTAGAGTGACGTCCCTTGGAGGAAGTGGTTATCGTTTGGAAAACGTTCAAAACAGAGGTCTTACGTACAGCACGTGGAAACTCTGCTTACGCTGTCATGATCTGAGAATCTGTGGTGTTGGTGGCGTAAGTTGACATGGTCATAGAAAATGTTATTTGCTTTTAAAATCTAAACTGAACATGTTATAAATGGATTCTTATTCACTTCAGAATGTTCAAATTTGGAAATAGACTTCTGGTAGCCGAGAGCCTCGATAGGGTCTGGAATGACCGCACGGTGACCGTTCCGTGGTAGTCAGTGTGGTCTTGACAGCGAGGCTTGTTGTCGAATGCTTCCTCAGGCTCAGACACAACTGCACACAAAGATCAGTTGAAATATCCCCATTTGTTCTTTCTAAAATATTTGGAAATTAACATTTACTGTAGATCTAGAATCTACTACTTTATCTACTCGGTATAAGATTATTGAAGTCAATTCTTAAGTAATATAAATCCCCCACATAGTGTTACACGCTCGTTGGTTTGTCATCTTCCCAAGGCAAGGCGAGTTTACTGACTATAAAGGTTGCCGAACTAGGCTGGTATTATGGAGTTACATTTTGGCTGGACTAACGGGTCTATGCATAGTCCAATCAAAAGCGTGCATCGAAATCGAAATCCGGTTCGTAAAGTGTCCTGCAGATTTCCATCGATTGCAGGATTTGCATAGCATGTGCACCGCCAACTCGTTGTCAATAGATATTTTCCAAATCTTTTCATGTTTTTAATCAAGGTGCTCACGCATTGCACGATGTAAGACCCGTTTTATCACAACATAGACATTGATTATCGATCAAATCGTCTTGACTGGGCGCCACTGTTTTGTTTGAAGCAAATGCAAGTGATAAGAGAGGTGGAATCTGATTGGTCTAAAGGAGAGGCTTAGAAGGGACATAACTGGTAATAGCCACCGGTGGCGCTAAGATAGCGCCTAGGAATTCCAGCCTAGTTCGGCAAGGGTGGAAACTGGACTTTTAAAGTCAGTTAACTCTCTTGCCTCGGGAAGATGTTGGTTTATGTGCAGGTATATATATATATATATCGTCACTTTTTTGGGTCAGTATGTTTCGTGTTTTACGTGTCGGTCAAGGGATTGCTTGGGGTCCTAGCTATTCTAACCTGGACCCTGTAGGAGGCCCAACTCTAACTCCAGGCTGAAATCACTCTAGAGAGACTTACATTGGGTCTAGGGGCTCAGATCACTCCTCCTAGGCTCTAGAGCTGTGATTGGCTGTGCAGAGTTGCATCCCTTTGGCACACCACAAACCTATGATTGTGGGTTCGAATCCCAATCCAGCCCAATTATGTTTTTTAGGTTTGTCAGCACCATATCTGTGCTCATGGGTTTCACCGAAGTGGTAAACGTCTGAGACCTGCATCATTTCTGGCTTAATTCCTCCCACATTAAGCTGACACGCCGTGATATGACCGGAATACTGTTAAAACTGGTGTTAAAACCAACTCACTCACTCACCTTGGCTTTAGAGCACTCAGTCACTCGGGTTGTAATCAAAACAACCAATAATAATAATAACAATAATAATATTTTGGCAAGCCCATCTCGTGTTGATATGTTTGATATCAAAAGACACTTGGGTGAGATTCTCTTTTTAAATACTTTTTACCAAACTTTTGTTAAACTATTCCCAATCTGACATTTTGTACCTATCTCTTGAAACCTACAGCGGGTACCTGGGTAGGGTTGGGTAAGGGTGGATAGGACAATGTTAGAAATTGGCACTAGTCCTGTACGTAGTCCTTGCCAAACTGCCCAATAGTTAAGGTATCATAAGGACCAGTAGAAATTGGCCCTTTTTCAGGGTTTTGCTATATGTTATGATTATAAGGACTAGTGGACGAAAACTGTTAGTTTCTACCTCTGCTGGTAATAAATTTGGACTCGTCCCAGCCCAAATCAGCAGGGCATGGAATTGATACCAGATGTTTGGGATCAGCTACCCATGTGCAGTGATATGCGTATTTGTACACAAAACATTAATTGGTCAATTGTGATTTATGTTGTGTATTTATGCAAATGTTCAGCTTGTCTGGAGCTCTGATGCACCATGCTATTTTCATTTGTTGTCATGGAAATTGCATTGTTTATGATTTCTAGGTTTCACAATGGACCAACAAACGGCTCAGGTGTTGTTCAAAGAGGGGGCTACGTTCATCTTCCTGGATGTCCCGGTCAGCACAGAGTTCGGCATCGACTACGATTCCTGGCAAGTGGGGCCGAACTTCCGCGGGGTCAAGATGATACCCCCAGGAATCCACTTTGTGTACTTCAGGTGCGTGTCCTCCCTCCACAAGTAAATAATCATCCCGAGGCAAGAGAGTTAACTGACTTTAAAAGTCATTTAAAACATGAAAAGATTTGGAAATATCTGTTGACAACGAGTTTGCGGTGCACATGCTTTGCACATCCTGAAATCTGCATGACAGTTTACGAACCGTATTTCGATTTCGATGCACAATTTTGATTGCACTATGCATAGACTCGTTAGTCCAGCAAAAATATAACTCCATAATACCAACCTAGTTCGGCAAGGATGGAAACTGGACTTATGTAGTCAGTTAACTCCCTTGCCTTGGGAAGATGTAGGGAAATTGAACCCTAGTGTTATTCTTTGTTGTATTGCAAGTTTGTATCACAGGATGCTCACAAAGATGTAGGGGAACGGGTGGCCCAGTTGTCTAAGGCGCTGCAATTCGCTGTGTAGAGTTGCGTCCCTTGGGCATGCCAGAAACCTATGAATGTGGGTTCGAATCCCGGTTAGCCCCGATTATGTTTCTAGGTTTGTCAGCACCATATCTGTACTCGTGGGTTTCACAAAAGTGGTAAATGTCTGAGACCTGCATCAGTTCGGGCTTTCCTCCCACATTAAGCTGACACCGCGATATAACTTGAATACTGTTAAAAGCGGCGTTAAACCCAACTCACTCACCCATTCTCAGGGGCGGTCGGGTAGCCTGGTGGTTAAAGTGTTCGCTCGTCACGCCGAAGACCCGGGTTCGATTCCCGACATGGGTACAATGTGTGAAGGCCATTTCTGGTGTCCCCCGCCGTGATATTGCTTGAATATTGCTAAAAGCGGCGTAAAACCATACTCACTCACTCACTCACCCATTCTCACAAAGGTGTAAAGATTCCATCTGAAATGGAAGTAAACCAACTAGAATATTTTGATCCATCTTCACACTCGGTGAATTTCATTTCATAATTAGCTTGATTATAAGCGTAACAAATGTTTTATGTGGGATAACACTTTCTTAGTAAAGTACAGATCCACAGACTTTTCTCAGACTCTCATGTTGTGGAAGCCTCGGTGGCTGAGTGGGTTAGATCACTGACTTTGTGTGCTGGCGATTTGGTGCCTCACTCTGGCAGTGTGGGTTCGAATCTCGGACGGGACGCAAACCCCAAAAGAATACGAGAATCTGTACTTTACTTAGAAAGTGTTATCCCAAATATAACATTTGTTACATCTGACATCTTTCTAAAAATGGCATTGTGTGTTTCATGGATGATAAGAGGTTGTCATATAAAAAGTTTCTTCCTTCTTTATTGAGATTGGTAAAATCGTATTCAATGTTGGAGTCCCCTGGGATGGTGTATTAACCACACACTAGACCCGGGGTAGAACAGGTCTTCAGCAACCCATGCTTGTCGTAAAAGGTGACTATGCTTGTCGTAAAAGGTGACTATGCTTGTCGTAAAAGGCGACTATGCTTGTCGTAAAAGGCGACAATGCTTGTCGTAAAAGGCGACTATGCTTGTCGTAAATGGCGACTATGCTTGTCGTAAAAGGCGACAATGCTTGTCGTAAAAGGCGACTATGCTTGTCGTAAAAGGCGACTATGCTTGTCGTAAAAGGCGACTAATGCTTGTTGTAAAAGGCGACTAACAGGATCAGGTGGTCAGGCTCACTGACCTGTGGATAGATTCTCATGATGTAAATCACTGGATTGTTTGGCCGAGACTCGATTATTTACAGACCGCCGTCATATAGCTTGAATATTGCCGAGTGCGGTGTAAAACAACAAACCAAATCAAACCACTGTACCTCTTCCATGTTCCATGTTTGCCCAGATTCAGATTGCGACAAAAACATATCATTGGCTTCATATTATATACGTCATCACAAGGGATTTAAATAAACTCTGAGTTTTGCCTTCAGTCTCCAGGAACTAACTATACTTTCATGAATTTTGTCCATGACATTATGGCCGTAGTAGTATAGACAATGACAGTTCTGGACCACTTCCACTAGAGCCAGATTAATATACCTATACCACCACTACAGAGGGAATTTTTTATTGATGTTTCTTTTAATATGATCTCATGATGATCGCCGAATCGCATAATCATTTTGACATAAAAAATTCCTACTGTAGTGGTGGTTAGGTATATAAATCTGGCTCTAGTGGAAGTGGTCGAGAACTGTCAGTCTATACTACTCGCTCGAATACCATGAATCTCAAGCCCTACAGACATCCATGTGGTGAGTGAGAGGATGTTAGTTATGTATAGTGATGGGAGTTGACCTGACTTTCATATTGCAATTTGTTGCAATATTGACTCGAGTATTGTGATACGTACCACAATAAATTGCAAGCGTTCTGTCATCTGCACCTGAAAAAAACCAAGAGATTCCCTACACATTTTGACAAGTTTGTTATCGTCCACTAGCAAAATGTCTATTGTTGCAATACATATAACCATGTTCTTTTTATTCGGTTTAAAAACACACCTGCAACCCAAATTATTTGCAAACAGAGCTAGTATGAGAGTGCACTGATTCACCTTAGTAAAGAACAATGTTCAGATGAAACAAAGACATATCTAAATGTTGCACAGTGATGTCTTTCAACTGATATTGTTTATGATATTATTTCAAACTGCAGTGTTGGATAACTATGCTATCCCTAGTGACTATACACAAGGACATGTTAAAGCCTTTGGACACAACACCAGTTGAATAAATATTTGTAGAGATTTTGATTTTATTTAACATTGGATAAAAGTATATAGAAATATATTCTGAGCATCTTAAATTAAAATTTATGAGTTGAACATCACTGATGCCTTTTGTGTCGTTGAAGCTCACAAAAAGTGAATTAAGAAAGTAAATACTTTGTATGTTTGTTTGTTGTTTTAGTTTCAGGATTTCCTTGGGATATGCTTAGAGCTTAATCTATCTCCTGTTATCTGTCACACTGTAGGATCGCACATCTAGCTAAAGGGAAACTTTCTACCAGGGCAGAAATATGTGCATTATATTGGTATGGACAAATGCCCAAGACAGACAGATTACATCACACACACTGAACAAACATCCTTTTACTAGATGTGAGAAGGAAATCCTGAACATATAACAATGGAATCTGCTTCCATCCATCCATCCATCCATCCATCCACCCACCCACTCTTCCACCCAACCACCCTTCCATCCATCCATCATTCACCCACTCTTCCATCCACCCACCCAACCACCCTTCCACCCTTCCATCCATCCATCCATCCATCCATCCACTGACTATTAGAAAGTTGAAGTCATCAATCTTGTCATACGGTCTTGTGGACATCTTCTCTAGGCAAGGGCGGTAACTGACTATTAAAGTCCAGTTCCCAACCTTGCCGAACTAGGCTGAAACTTCAGAGTTACATTTTGGCTTGACTCATGAATCCATGCATAGTCCAATCAAAATTGCATAACGAACTAGACATCCGGTTCATAAACAACATGGATTTCAATGAGCAGATTTCGGTGACTGCAGATTTTACAAAGCATGTGTACCATCAACTGGGTGTCGACAAATATTTTGCAAATCTTTTCCTGTTTTTAATCAAAGTTCTCAAGAGATTTGATGCACTTCATGGGTTATGAACCATTTTATTTCAAAATATATCTTGATTATCTTGGTTAGGCGCTGCCATTGTGTTTGAAACAACTGCAAGTGATATGAGAGATGGAATCTGATTGGTCAATAGGAGGGACATGGAAAGACATAACTCGTAATAACCACTGCTGGCACTGCGATTGAGCCCAGAATTTCCAGTCCAGTTCGGCAAGGGTGGAAACTGGACTTTCATAGCTAACTCCCTTGCCTTGGGAAGATGTCTTGTGTTTTGTCACTCTGAATTTTTATGCATAGATATAAATATCAAACGGACGGGTCCGTCTCCTAGTTTCCTTATTTAGGGTGGGTAAATCAGTGGATGATATCAAATCATCAATATGTTTACATGAAGCTTTAGATAACCTTCTTGGACAAATGGACCCGTGAAGATTCTGGGGTAGAATAGGTCTTCAGCAACCCTTGCTTGTCGTAAAACGGGATCATGTGGTCAGACTCGCCGACTTGGTTCATGCATGTCATCGATCCCAATTGCGTGGATCGATGCTCATGATATCAATCACTGGATTGTCTGGTCCAGACTCAATTATTTACAGACCGCTGTCATATAGCTGGAAAAATTGCGGAATGGGGCGTTAAACAACGAACCAACCAACCAAATTTTGGACAAATAGCATTGGTCTGACTTTGACTTAACAAATGCAAAGGATTAATTTCAGAAATATATGAACAAGTAACTCAAGATCTATCTCTTTCCAAGTCTCTGAGGGGCGGTCGGGTAGCCTAGTGGTTAAAGCGTTCGCACGTCATGCCCGAAACCCAGGTTCGATTCCCGACATGGGTACAATGCGGGATTTTAGCTATATAATATGTTATAATATCCCCAGGATATTAGCTATATAATATGTTATAATATCCCCAGGATATTAGCTATATAATATGTTATAATATCCCCAGGATATTAGCTATATAATATGTTATAATATAATGTGATGTAAAATCAATAACATATGTTTTCCTTATATTCCCGAGGTTCGAAAACGCAACCCTTGTATCTGTAGCCCTGTGAGTGTACCACAAGGCTACAGAGGCGTTGATAAATCACAATGCTTTTTCAAGTACTGTACGCCAACAACAGATATTTAATGCCCGTCTCCTGAGGTTCATGGGAAGTGTGTTTGAAACATAAAAAATATTGATAAATATTGTTGTTTTAAGTTTCTTTTTTAGGTTTATAAGTTAGATAACACACTTCCCCTCGGGTTTTTATGGTATTTAAAAACCTTATCCTTGTACGCCCCTTGTATTTTTTTCCATGGATGCTTGTTTTAAATATCATAAAAATGCTCGGACATGCTTTTTCCTACACAAGTAGGCATTGTATTAATTATACATTCTGTCAAGGTGACCTCATTTGCATATTTATCGGATGGTGATACCAAGTTTATCGGGTTGGTTTATCACGTTGATGATACTCTCCGTTCTATGATAACAAACCATGCTGTTACCTCCCCCTGTATTTGGCCACACCCGTCCCAAGTAAAACCATTCTCACTCACTTACCAGGTGCTTTATGTTTCTATCCCATCTCCCCCTAGAATCAATGGAACATTCCATGTTTCAGTGCATGCAACAAGGAGGGGCAGACCGCCCCTAGAAGTGGATTCTTCCACAACTTTCAGCCAAGGGAGATTGTAGTCCGGAAATGGGACAAGGTGACGGAAGGTAGGTGTAATTCATTATTTTGGCTTTTTGGCTTAACCCTATTGAGGCTGAGATAATTATTCAGACACACATTTTTGTAAGTTCTGAGAAGTGAATATTAGGCAAAACTTGCGGCTATGCAGCATTGGGTCCATCTATAACTACAGTAAACAACGTTTACAACGAACACGCTTACAAGGAACTGAGGGATATAACTAATTTTTTAACTTATCCTGCATTACTCCGTATTGCATTTACTGCTGTCTTTGACAGAGAGACGAACTGTGTGAGATCCAGCTGCTGAAGAAAGTTGTCCCAACCAGCCCAGGAGGCAGCGCCCTCTCACAGTCGGCACGTGACCCGGAAGTCATGACGTCACACCAAAAGACATAACTGCTTTGTCACCTCCACGGACGGACGTACTTTGTATCCCTTTTGGAAATTAAAGCTTATTATTTGTTTTTTATATTTTGCGTGTTTCTACATTCATTATATGCTGCTACATTGTTACCTGTTATGGGCCGTGACCTTAGGGTCTTCCCATTCGTAACGTTTATCGCTCGTCTGTGGCTCACGTCACAGTAATTTACGGGCGCAATGTTGTTCCCGCCATTTTGTTTTCTTTCCCGCCATTTTGGCCATTCACCACGTGGCCACGTAATGTCGTGCTCTGCGTTTTGAATTCTCTCTTTGGCTTGGGTAATACATTACATTTATGTATGTTGTTTTGGTGTGCTTAAAGCCTTGCCTTTTCGCTACCTCTCAGCGTAATTGTTTCTTCTCATAAACTTCAATATAATACGAAGTTTTTGAGTTACATTATGTCTCCCGTACTCTGTGGTTTTGCCACATGGTTACGTGTTTGCTTAAGGCTTTGCCTTTTCGCTCCCTTTTAGCGTACTTGTTTATCTCATAAACTTTAATAAAATATACTGTTTTTGAGTTACTTTATGCTTCCCATACTTTGTGATTGGCCACACATTATGCTTCCCGCACTTTGTGGCTTTGCCACATAGTTATGTTTTGCTTAAATTCCAGATTTTCTGCCTCGCTGCACTTGTTGCCGCGGGAACAAATCTGGTCGGGGCCGCCCCTTTCTGCCGTGATTGTACGACGCCCTGTACTTTCACAAGGCAGTGCCGATGTTGCAGTCATTCGTCGCTGTGATCCTTCAGCTCATGCGAGTATCCAGGACACACCTCGCTCAAAGTGCTCGTCGACCCCCACCTACGTTGACGGCAGCAGCGCTCAGCGGAGCTTCACGGCGGCTCCCAACGTAGAGTCTGCCTCCCATGGCACGACATACGACCGTTCACGGTCTCCTACTCCACCGGCGGCTCCAGCGCTCCCAACGTAGAGTCTGCCTCCCCTGGCACGACATACGACCGTTCACGGTCTCCAACACCTTCAACGCTGATGTCCCGGCGCTCCCGGCGCCTCTGATGTCCCGGCGCTCCCGGCGCCTCCGATTCCTCCGAAGTCCTGGCGCCTCAGGTGCCTCTGATGTCCCGGCGCCTCCGATGACTCGGCGCTTGGCGCCTCTGATGTCTCGGCGCCTCCAATGATTCGGCGCTCCTGGCGCCTCTGATGACTCGGCGCCTCCGGCGCCTCTGATGTCTCCGCGCTCCGGCGCCTCCGCATCCTCTGATGCCTTCGGCGCTCAGTAAGCTTCAGATCAACAAGCTTTATCAAGCTCAGATCAACGAGCCGACCATCCGATCTTCTACTGCGGCTTAAGGGGCACCATCGGCAATCGCCTCCCTGGCGCCACTGCCCTCTTCTCTTGCTGCCGTCTCATAACTCGTCACACGGAGAAGCATGGTGAAACAACTGTCGCGGCTCCTGTCGCTACTCTCCCGTCGGTCTTCGGGATCGTGACTATCGTTCTACTTCCTGGGTGGAATCTTTTCAACCAATAGACAGTTGGTCTGATTCAACTTGCCCACTGAGATGTTATCCATAATCCCGTCGTTTAAAGCGCTATGATTCCGAAGAGATGACCTGCGGGTTTCCATCGAAACAGAGCGTCATGTGAACAGCGTCTGTATCAGATTCGACGACGACATCCACTTACAAAGAGTTTACTTCGTCGACATCGCAGACATCAACGCTGTTCTACCCTACCCTAGCGCCAGCGTTCCTGAAAGAGATTCTTCCTCGGCGCTCCCCGGGTTTTCCTCGACGCCCATGGGGTTCTGTGTTTTATCGCAAAACTCGGGTACACCACTTGATCGTCTCTCACACAGTTCATTGAGGATTGTCTGTGTGTGGAGTTTGCACCTCAGTTCCGACTCCAAGGCGGTTTTCTCGGCTACTGCGCAGAGTGATTTACATGTCACGTGTCAAGTACTCGGACTGTCAACAACTCCGACCGGATTTAGGTCAACTTACCATGGCAAGGTTTGCCATGTATTTCTACAGATTGGTTTCCATGTCTACCTGTAAGCTTGGTGATACCACTCAACCAGGCGCCTGTCGCAGTCCATCCATGCACGGATGTTGAAACAATAGACCTCCTCTACCAACACGGCTGTCACGAGGAACCTTGTTTCATCAACCCTTCGCTATAAGAACGATAGCGCCTATAGGCGTTCAAGGGATGGAAAAGATCGCCTTCCTTCGTCCGGTTTTATCTTTTCGACTACGACACCTTCCTATCTTCCGACTTGACTACCGGACACAGTGTCGATTTGATACTTAAAGTCCCTCGGCCGTCCCACTGACCCCTGTTGCATACCTGCCTCGTATCGTGTTGTCGTCCTCCATCGTCACCTCGATATAAGAACAGGAGTACTTATACGCCGCTTCAGGGATGAAAACGATCTCATTACTTCGTGCAATGGCCATATTGCCTCGACTTCCTACTACCCGGTTACGTCGATGCACCGGCGGTCGATTGTGAAGCTGGTTTACTTCGTCTACTTGAGGTTGTCTCGCAGGCGATCACACCTTTTTCCGAATCGTACCGACGGTACGCAATCGCAGACCCCTGTTGCTGACTACCTCCCCTGCCACCTTGTCAGTGGCTAGTGGCCCACACCAGCCCACATTGTGACCACCTGTGATCCAGAGATCAACACCATTGGCACAGCAACAGCCTCGAGATAAAGGCTTATCCAGGACGTCACTTGCTGACAGTGCATTCTCGGTCACGCCCTGTTGATCGTGTCCTCTGACGACGTCACCGTAGTGTGGTGTTTGCGGACCCAGAGTACTCGCCCCTCTCCCGGCGCTACAAACTCGACTGGCGCCCCCGAGAATCACCATCTTCGGCGTTCCAGGCGCCTCAAGCTCTCCGACGCCTCACGCTCTCCGGCTCCTCGGGCCAGACTATGTCAAACGGTCGACACCCCAACCCTAGATCTGTTTGCCTCATATCTGAATGTGGCCAGCTGTCGTCTTCCATTCCAGCTGTGCCGCATACGACTGCTGTGGCAGTCGAAGCCTTCCATCGTTCCTGAGAAGGATTACGCGCGTACGCTTTTCCGTCTCCGGTTCTCCCTCCCACAGTTCTTCAGAGATCCAGGCCACTCGACCCCTGCCATTGACTTTGGTCTCGCATTAATGGTCAGCCAGAAGTTGGGTTATCGACCTCCGAAACATAGCCAGAGACAACCCCTGGAACTTCCGGTGTGGTCCAACTTTCTGCTCCATCCACACGGTCTGTTGCCACACCCTCATACCCGCATGTTATCGTCTGCACGCCTGACACGCATGCAGAAAGCCAAGGGCTATTCGGCTAGAGCGACCAAGGCTATTGCTTCAGCCCACCGTCCATCTACAGGGGGACTGTATGCTGATAAATGATGCTTGTTCCAGGCATTTTGTTCTGACAAACACCAGGATCCGATGACAGCGTCACCGCAGATCCTGGATCAGTTCCTTCTGTACTTGCGTAGCACCCGTCGGTTGAAGGGCTTACCACCCCCACATACCTGGTCGCCATCTACTCCGTTCTGGCCATCTCGGACGATCGGAGAAAGACGAAAATTCCCGACCTACGGGCATGGCTGCGCTCATTCAGTCTTGAAGACCTGAAGACCAAGTTCGAACCGACTGCGTTGGATCTGAATGTGGTCTTCAACGCCCTTCGATCCACTCCCCTCGTCTTCCTTCTACGAAGACGGATGTTTCTACTGGTTTTGACTACTGCCGCTCGAGTCGGTGTACAGCACGCCCTCGACGTCTCCCGTGCCCGGTTCGAATGCGGTACCCAGGGCGCCGTTCATCATGGACTGTACTGGGACGTCAGCGTAAAGACTCAACTCCCAGGACAGCCTGATAGATCATTCCTTGTCCCCCCCCCCCCTCGTCCAGTGTGGGTGCCGAGGATGAGGATGAGCGTCATTATGCCCAGTAAGGGCACTGAAGGTTATTCTACGATCGAAAGACTGCCGCAAGTCTAGGAAACACCTTTTTTCTGCCGGTCTCCCCTTCGTTGCAGTCGTTGGTCAGCCGGAATACTTTTCCCTGTGGCTCCGGGCGGTCTTCCTTAAAGCTTATGAGCCGCCGGATTGGACCCTCCCCCCAAAGGCTATCACCTGAAATAAAATGAGATCAGGGCGGTTGTATTTACACTGGTTTTTCACGGTATACTGTTCCATCCAGTCGTTCAGGGAAGCCTGTTCGTGGCGATCGGACACCGCCTTCACCAACCACTACTTCCGTGATGTAGCCTTGAAAGTTGTCGCCGGCGTTCACAGTTTTGGTCCCTGGTTGTAGCCCAACAGGTTATCTATCTCCGACGCCACTGATTCTCCGATACCCTGAGCGGGGCCCGTCGACCTCTCTGGTGTTTATCACCCCAGACGAGACGGCTCTCTTGCGTTCCGCATTCGCTCTTAGACGAACGCTCTGACGACAGGAATGGAAGTTGATGTGGACACCGGCGCCGACGCCAACGCCGCTGCTTCTCTGATACCTGAGCGGTGCCCGTCGACCTCACCGGTGTTCCTTGCCTCCAGCCTAGAGGGCTCTCCTGCTTTTCGCATTCGCTCTTGGGATTGGTCGTAGATTTTGCCGCCGACGCGGCTGATTCTTCAATTCCCCGAGCGGGGCCCGTTGAACTCTCTGGTGTTTATCGCCTCAGATTAGAGGGCTCTACTGCGTTTCGCTTTCGCTCTTCGGTAAGTTATATATTTTGGCAACACGCCTCATTGTATTTCGGTTACCTATTCGGGCGTTTCGTTTTTGCATCGACTCTTGTTTCCTGAAGACAGGAATAGTCGTAGATGTTCCGGTCATCACTTGTATGCGGTGCGGATTCATCGGACCTTGACGAGGGTTTAATATGGTTCACATCTGCAGGTATGCCCACCGGCCATGCCGTCTGATAAAGATGCAATACGGAGTAATGCAGGATAAGTTAAAAAATTTAGTAAAATCTAAATATTTATCCTGCATTACGAAGTCTAAGTGCCCTCCCTTTCGCTACGCTACCTCCACACGAAGTTTCAGATGTTATGTTTAAAGCAGTTATGTCTTTTGGTGTGACGTCATGACTTCAGGGTCACGTGCCGACTGTGAGAGGGCGCTGCCTCCTGGGCTGGTTGGGACAACTTTCTTCAGCAGCTGGATCTCACACTGTTCGTCTCTCTGTCAAAGACAGCAGTAAATGCAATACGGAGTAATGCAGGATAAGTATACAAATGTAAAAAATATTTAGATTATACTAAACTATTTTCGGTCCCCCTATGAACAATATACCTGCTATGCCACAATATGCGGGGGAACGAGATGACGAGCAATCTCATTAAAATCAGATCTATGTTCTCCCTGCCGCTAAATAAAGATCTGAGGACATCCCATTAAGGGTCACGTCAGGACGACCTTTAGTGTACGTTGACCGACCACTGAAATTACATCAGCCAAGTCGACATCAGCCAATTAGACAGCAGCTTTTTTGAGCTTTACGGCACTTGTTTCAACCTGGCGACTTCCATTTCTGTCTACGCTTGAAAAATATATTGACACAGTTCTCGATTAATATTTTGAAACCTGAACAAACGAACATTCCAGAATGTCTAATATATGGTTGAGAGTGTATGGCAGTGATCCTATGTACTGTGCAACACATCTTCCATTCAAATGTTTATATCACGGAACCGAGAGATGGACGATAATTTTGACGGAATCAGTCGTACAAGCCATAATTGTCGTTCGGAATACCCTGTGTTAACGTTTTTGAGGTTGCATGATTAGAAAGTACAATCCAACAGTCACTTTCATGATCTGGTAAGCTATGCTTTGATTGGTCGGATGAAAGGTCGTTCTGTCGTGACCCGTAATGGGATGTCCTCAGATCTTTGTTTAGCGATGGCGAGAACTAAGATCTGATTTTAACGAGATCGGACGACTAGTTGCCTGATGTGCCACAATTCACTGAACCTGTAAAGACGAGGAGTAGAATAGGTCTTCAACCACAAATGCTTGCCGTAAAAGGCGACTATGCTTGTCGTAGGAGGCGACTAACGGGATCAGGTGGTCAGGCTTGCTGACTTGGTTGATGCATGTCATCGTATCCCAATTGGGTGGATTGTCTGGTTCAGACGCGATTATACATTTACAAACCACCGTCATGTATCTTGAATATTGCTGAGTGCGGTGTTAAACAACAAACAAACAAACAAACACAATTCACTGTGCAGAGTTGCGTCCCTTGAGTTCCACCGAAGTGCTTAATGTCTGAGACCGGTTTCACTTTGGGCTTTTGTCCCAGATTAAGATTGACATGCCAATATATAAATGGAATATTGTTATAATCGGCGTCTTAACTGAACTCGCTTACTATAAAATATACACTAGGGGCATATTAAGGGCGAATCTTGGCCATGTCCTGTGTTATAATCTCATTAGATTGAGGGGGCGCCGCGATTCGCTGTGCAGAGTTGCGTCCCTTGGGCACGCCAGAAACCTATGATTGTGGGTTCGAATCCCTATTCTCCCCGATTATGTTTCTAGGTTTGTCAGCACCATACTCGTGCTCGTTGGTTTCACCGAAGTGGTAAACGTTTGAGACCTGCATCACTTCGGGCTTTCCTCCCACGTTAAGCTGACACGCTGCGATATAACTTGAATAATGTTAAAAGCGGCGTTAAACCCAAATCACTCACTCACTCACTCATTAGATTGATCCTCCATTTGAAGTTTACTGAACCTTCAGGTCGCTGCTATTTACCTACAACTTGTTTCTCAATTAAATGCTACTTACCCACAACTTGTTTCAGACATGACCAGCGACGGAGTGACTGCAGTGGACATGGAGAGATTCTCGACCAACATGCAGGAACTTGACAGATTCCTTGGGCCCTACCCATATGAAAAGTATGTGTCACAGACATAGTAGACTCTGCTGATCATTGTTCATAATAAAACTGGGGCGGTCAGGTAGCCTAGTGGTTAAAGCGTTTGCTCGTCACGCCAAAGACCCGGGTTCGATTCCCGACATGGGTACAATGTGTGAAGGCCATTTCTGGTGTCCCCCGCTGTGATATTGCTGGAACATTGCAAAATGCGGCGTAAAACCATACTCACTCTCTCATAATAAAACTGTGATCCACAAACCCATGTAATAAAGACAGGTATTGTTATGTTTCACACAAACAACACAAGTCTTCAGTTGTACTCCAATCGCTGGATCATGTCAAACAGTATACAATTTCTAAATATTCCCTGTACGAAGTGGAAGGGTGATTATAGGAAGTGGTGCTGTCCATCCGTCCGTCACATTTTGTTTCTGGAGCAGAACTCAAAAACCATGGCAGATATCTTAACCAAACTTGGCACATAGATAGGTCTAGTGGTGAACGTGTGCCTTTTGATAGTTTGGGTTTTTTGAGAAAAGAAAATTATGGAGTTTCCATGGCAACGACTTTGACTTAGACTGAAAATGGCGGTAGTGCTCATTTCCGGCGCAGATCTTGAAAACCGGACAATATTTCTTGCCTTGCACCAACTGGACATGTCATGTTGTTGGGGGATATGAGTATTAAACGCTTGTTTGATCTGCTATCACTATCCAGTAAATATGGAAATGAGGCCACCTAGCACGTTGCCAGTAAGATCCGGGTTAGAATAGGTCTTCAGCAACCCATGCTTGCCGTAAAAGGCGACTATGCTTGTCGTAAAAGGCGACTAACGGGATCGGGTGGTCAGGCTTGCTGACCTGGTTGATGCATCTCATCGATCCCAATTGCGTGGATCGATGTTCATGATGTAAATCACTGGATTGTCCGGTCCAGACTCTATTATTTACAGACCGCCATCATATAGCAGGAATATTGCTGAGTGTGGCGTAATATAATGAACCAAACCAAACCAAAAAGTTGTCAGTATTTATGCAGATTATATTTATATTTGTGTTAAGTGGATGTCTAAATGTCAGGTGAGCTAGAGTGGACTAGTTCTTCTGATAGTTTTTTTAAATGTGGGATCATTTTTAGGGTAAGCATGGAACAAAATATGTAATCCCTGCCCTGGAGATTTGGTGTTCATAGACGCTGTATCTGTGTCAGCAAAGAAGTGACACAATCTTCTGGACTAGTACAAGCAACCACACAAACCCACCATGGGCAGATACAGAGGGGGCTGGGGGGGGGTGTGAGGGGTGTGTGTGTGTGTGTGTGTGTGTGTATGTGTGTGCTTGGGTGCGCACCCCCCCCCCCCCCCCCCCTTTTATTTCGATTTTTTTTTTCTCTGTATAAATTATAAATTTTCTGTATAAACAATAAATCGATCTTAATTGTGCATGCACGTCGCTATATAAGTGCAATAATCGTGTACGCGACGTTAAACCACATTTCACCTCACCTCAACTTAAGCCTGTTACTACAAGTTCAATATTTTGGACGTGCATTATCTTGCTGCGACGTGACATTATGTCGCACCAAGGGTAGAACATGATCTGGGCCCACTTGCACAGAACGATCTTAGCGCTAAGATGATCGTAACTCACATGCTTTAACATAGGCTTGCGGTAGTTGTAGCTCTAAGATGATCGTAACTCCCATGCTTTAACATAGGCTTACGGTAGTTGTAGCGCTAAGATTGCTTTGTGCAAGTGGGACTTGGAACCATATCGTCCTGGTAGCGTTTAAATTGCCATTAGCAATGATGAGTTCTCCATGATGATGATGATGATGATGATGATGGTGATCTTGTCTTGTTGCAGCTACAAGAAGTGGGTATCGATGACAAGCCACATATCCAACACTGTGCTGGAGCACGTTCTGCCAGACAACGGCCTTGTACGTTCCGTCACCCAGTTCGAGTCCAAGGCAAGCACGTCTCAGTCCAGGAAGCGAGACCGAGAACAACAGTCGATGGAAACCGATTCCGACCCGAGTTCATCTAGCGATGCTGTATCGACGGAAGACAGCGAGACGAAGTTCCTCCCTCACATGACCGTCATCCCAGGAACCAGCATTCGGTACAGCAACATCACAAAACGTCGGTACCCGTCTGGCGCCACACCCGCCGAGGTCACGCGATACAGCATGGATTCTTCCTTCCTGCTGGAGACCATTCTCAGTGAGCGGTATTCTGACACATCCCTCGGAGTCCTCGGCGAAATACAGTTTGCATTCATCTGTTTTCTGATTGGTCAGAACTATGATTCATTCGAACAGTGGAAGAAGCTGGTTCATGTTCTGTGTACGAGCGAAGAGGCTCTGTGCGTCCATACGGAACTCTTTCTTCATCTGGTGACCGTTCTTCATTTTCAGATTCGGGACATACCGGAAGATTTCTTTGTTGATATTGTGTCACAGAATAATTTCCTGACCACCACGCTGCAAGAGTTCTTCTCAAACTTGCAGTCAAATCCTGTTGATGGTAACCTTAAACGCAAGGGGCTGAAATTTTGTGATCATTTAACTGAAAAGTTTCAATGGGATTTTATGGCTGAACCTGAAGACTATGCACCTGTAGTTGTTGAAACTGAGTAATAAAAGAATGCAGGATTTAGTGTTAACGGTGTCTTTTATCTGAATGGTTTCAGGCCTTGTAGCCCAGTGGTCTAATGCAACTTTTCAGTCACCTGACTGTTTTTGTTTTGTCGTCCGTTGTGCATCATCCGTTGTACCATATCTGTTGTGCATCATCCGTTGTACCATATATGTTGTGCATCATCTGTTGTACCATATCCGTTGTGCATCATCCGTTGTACCATATCCGTTGTGCATCATCCGTTGTACCATATCTGTTGTGCATCATCCGTTGTACCATATCCGTTGTGCATCATCCGTTGTACCATATCCGTTGTGCATCATCCGTTGTACCATATCCGTTGTGCATCATCCGTTGTACCATATCCGTTGTGCATCATCCGTTGTGCCATATCCGTTGTGCATCATCCGTTGTACCATATCCGTTGTGCATCATCCGTTGTACCATATCCGTTGTGCATCATCCGTTGTACCATATCCATTGTGCATCATCCGTTGTACCATATCCGTTGTGCATCATCCGTTGTACCATATCCGTTGTGCATCATCCGTTGTACCATATCCGTTGTGCATCATCCGTTGTACCATATCCGTTGTGCATCATCCGTTGTACCATATCCGTTGTGCATCATCCGTTGTACCATATCCGTTGTGAATCATCCGTTGTACCATATCCGTTGTGCATCATCCGTTGTACCATATCCGTTGTGCATCATCCGTTGTACCATATCCGTTGTGCATCATCCGTTGTACCATATCCGTTGTGCATCATCCGTTGTGCACATCCGTTGTACCATATCCGTTGTGCATCATCCGTTGTACCATATCCGTTGTGCATCATCCGTTGTTAACATCCTCCCAATGAAGCTGGGACTTCATCTGCTTGTTCCAACCGATGATGATTTGATTCGTACAAAAGTTCAGATCCGATTTTCAATATGGCCACCACAGCAGCCATATTGCAAAACCTAATTGCCATTACTCAGCCATTTCGTAACACGTCTCTGTTATCACTTACCAACTTGGATATGAGCTTAGCCTTTGTTCCATTGTACTATGTGATTATATATGTTCATGGATACCTTGATTACCTGTGTGTGTGTGTGTGTGTGTGTGTGTGTGTGCGTGCGTGCGTGCGTGCGTGCGTGCGTGTGTGTTCGCGAAAAGGGTAAGCATGTCCTGTCAAACTCGAACCATAGCCATTCACACCTATAGAACGTGTTGTCTGATGTTGTCTGATGTTGCACAGCAATAATCCTAGAAAAAAAGATAAAAAAAAGAAATTTGGTATATGACTAGGGCACTTAGCATGTACAATGTACGTATTTTGCAATATTTTGATTTTTTTTCCTTTTCTTTTTTACCACACTGAAAGCTGAATCTTCTGATGGACATTAACAATGCTTGTCCTAGGAATGGCCTGTAGACCCCGAGAACTCTGCATCAGAATCCAGTTTGCCATATATCTGCTTCTGATATCAAACTGCGAGATATAGGTCCCTCTCAACTGTTTTCATCACCTCCTTGGCAAATGGTAAAATGGCAAATTAAGGAAATCAGATACTAATCAACTATTTTATCAAGAAGAATACTATCAATTAAGAAACGCTTAAGACAAGGAGGGTGGCGCTGTTGCTACTGCCGCTGTCATTGGATTCAGAACAATATCTTCACGATTGCTAGATATACCAGTCACCATTTTCAAGGCCATTTTAAAGGAACTAAAATATATCAACAACCAATCTGAATATAAACACTTCATTATTTTTTCAGATTCTCTTTTGTGCCTTTTGGCAATTACAAATATGTCATTTAAACATACACTTTTAATCCAAATTCTTGAATTATTTAATGATCTTGCTACTGGCCAATATGACATCGTCTTTTGTTGGGTACCCAGCCATGGTATAACTAACAAATCGGTGACACCACTTCTTATCCCACACAGTGATCATAATCCTAGTTTTAAACCTAGATCTGTGATAATCGAGATCTACTTGCTTTACTGCCATCAGTCGACAGGATTTTATACTGTTTACATATATATTATTAAAGGCGAATTGTGTCTGGTCACGATAGGGCTGAAATATTGCCGATGTGGCGCTAAATATTAACTCACTAACTCGGTGACTTAGTTGATTTGGTTACACTGTACCCAGAAAATGTGGATTGTTGCTCATGATGTCAATCACTGGATTGACTCCAGACTCGATTATTTGCAGACCCCTGGAATATTGCTGAGTGCTGTGTGAAACAAAATATGCTGCCTTACAGTATTCCAGTTATATGAGGGTGTCATCTTAATGTGGGGTGAAAATTGATAGTTATAAACGTCATACCAGGGATGATTATCTCCTTGGGTTTGAACCAACCAACAGCGGATCATTGACACTGCTGCGTGACACCTTTGTTAGTACAGACGTGCTAGAGAGCACTGCGAACAGGCAATCGTTGTGAGGAGCTTGCATTGCTCGCTAAGGGACGCAACTCTTCACAGCAACTGGGGCCGGGGTGTCAGGAGGGAAACGACCTGGGCCCATTTGCACAAAGCGATAGCTTTAACATAGGCTTACAATAGTCTCAGTTCTGTTCAGGTGAGAGGCTTCATGCCATCCTGGTGTCTCAGTTCTGTTCAGGTGAGAGGCTCCATGCCATCCAGGTGTCTCAGTTCTGTTCAGGTGAGAAGCTCCATGCCATCCTGGTGTCTCAGTTCTGTTCAGGTGAGAGGCTTCATGCCATCCTGGTGTCTCAGTTCTGTTCAGGTGAGAGGCTCCACGCCATCCTGGTGTCTCAGTTCTGTTCAGGTGAGAAGCTCCATGCAATCCTGGTGTCTCAGTTCTGTTCAGATGAGAGGCTCCATGCCATCCTGGTGTCTCAGTTCTGTTCAGGTGAGAAGCTCCATGCCATCCTGGTGTCTCAGTTCTGTTCAGGTGAGAAGCTCCACACCATCCTGGTGTCTCAGTTCTGTTCAGGTGAGAAGCTCCATGCCATCTTGGTGTCTCAGTTCTGTTCAGATGAGAGGCTCCATGCCATCCTGGTGTCTCAGTTCTGTTCAGATGAGAGGCTCCATGCCATCCTGGTGTCTCAGTTCTGTTCAGATGAGAGGCTCCATGCCATCCTGGTGTCTCAGTTCTGTTCAGATGAGAGGCTCCATGCCATCCTGGTGTCTCAGTTCTGCTCAGGTGAGAAGCTCCATGCCATCCTGGTGTCTCAGTTCTGTTCAGGTGAGAAGCTCCATACCATCCTGGTGTCTCAGTTCTGTTCAGGTGAGAAGCTCCATGCCATCCTGGTGTCTCAGTTCTGTTCAGGTGAGAAGCTCCATGCAATCCTGGTGTCTCAGTTCTGTTCAGGTGAGAAGCTCCATGCCATCCTGTTGTCTCAGTTCTGTTCAAGTGAGAAGCTCCATGCCATCCTGGTGTCTCAGTTCTGTTCAGGTGAGGAGCTCCATGCCATCCTGGTGTCTCAGTTCTGTTCAGGTGAGAGGCTCCATGCCATCCTGTTGTCTCAGTTCTGTTCAGGTGAGAGGCTCCATGCAATCTTGGTGTCTCAGTTCTGTTCAGGTGAGAAGCTCCATGCCATCCTGGTGTCTCAGTTCTGTTCAGATGAGAAGCTCCATGCCATCCTGGTGTCTCAGTTCTGTTCAGGTGAGAGGCTCCATGCAATCCTGGTGTCTCAGTTATGTTCAGGTGAGAGGCTCCATGCCTTCCTGGTGTCTCAGTTCTGTTCAGGTGAGAAGCTCCATGCCATCCTGGTGTCTCAGTTCTGTTCAGGTGAGAGGCTCCATGCCATCCTGGTGTCTCAGTTCTGTTCAGGTGAGAAGCTCCATGCCATCCTGGTGTCTCAGTTCTGCTCAGGTGAGAAGCTCCATGCCATCCTGGTGTCTCAGTTCTGTTCAGGTGAGAAGCTCCATGCCATCCTGGTGTCTCAGTTCTGTTCAGGTGAGAGGCTCCATGCCATCCTGGTGTCTCAGTTCTGTTCAGGTGAGAAGCTCCATGCCATCCTGTTGTCTCAGTTCTGTTCAGGTGAGAAGCTCCATGCCATCCTGGTGTCTCAGTTCTGTTCAGGTGAGAAGCTCCATGCAATCCTGGTGTCTCAGTTCTGTTCAGGTGAGAAGCTCCATGCCATCCTGGTGTCTCAGTTCTGTTCAGGTGAGAAGCTCCATGCCATCCTGGTGTCTCAGTTCCGTTCAGGTGAGAGGCTCCATGCCATCCTGGTGTCTCAGTTCTGTTCAGGTGAGAAGCTCCATGCCATCCTGGTGTCTCAGTTCTGTTCAGGTGAGAGGCTCCATGCCATCCTGGTGTCTCAGTTCTGTTCAGATGAGAGGCTCCATGCCATCCTGGTGTCTCAGTTCTGTTCAGGTGAGAAGCTCCATGCCATCCTGTTGTCTCAGTTCTGTTCAGGTGAGAAGCTCCATGCCATCCTGGTGTCTCAGTTCTGTTCAGGTGAGAGGCTCCATGCCATCCTGGTGTCTCAGTTCTGTTCAGGTGAGAGGCTCCATGCCTTCCTGGTGTCTCAGTTCTGTTCAGGTGAGAAGCTCCATGCCATCCTGGTGTCTCAGTTCTGTTCAGGTGAGAGGCTCCATGCCATCCTGGTGTCTCAGTTCTGTTCAGGTGAGAGGCTCCATGCCATCCTGGTGTCTCAGTTCTGTTCAGGTGAGAGGCTCCATGCCATCCTGTTGTCTCAGTTCTGTTCAGGTGAGAAGCTCCATGCCATCCTGTTGTCTCAGTTCTGTTCAGGTGAGAAGCTCCATGCCATCCTGGTGTCTCAGTTCTGTTCAGGTGAGAAGCTCCATGCAATCCTGGTGTCTCAGTTCTGCTCAGGTGAGAGGCTCCATGCCATCCTGGTGTCTCAGTTCTGTTCAGGTGAGAAGCTCCATGCAATCCTGGTGTCTCAGTTCTGTTCAGGTGAGAGGCTCCATGCCATCCTGGTGTCTCAGTTCTGTTCAGGTGAGAAGCTCCATGCCATCCTGTTGTCTCAGTTCTGTTCAGGTGAGAAGCTCCATGCCATCCCGGTGTCTCAGTTCTGT